AGAGAGAGAGAGAGAGAGAACGGAGGCAGGTCGAGCGATCCACGCGAGGCTGGCTCTTCATTGGCAAGAGAGCGAGCTTTTGTGGGGCGCGGAGAATCGATCGGGAGCGCCAGCTTGACGTCACGGAGCGGCTCTCACGTCACCAAGTAGGTTGCCCCCCTTGACTCGCGTCATCCTCCTTTCAACCATGCGCGCGCGCTGTGTTGCGCCTACCTCTCCCGAGGATTTTATTTAGCCGGCCGCGCCGCCCGATGACGATTTGCATGCCGATGCGCTCTTTATACGTATATAGGCCACACCCCCCGCTCGCCCGCATTTCATCGCGACGTAGGCCCTCGACGTTGTTGCGCCTCCTCTCGCTGCGCGGACAATGACGCTACTGCCGTTGTCGTCGTTGTTGTCATCATTGTTGTCGTCGTTGTTGTCGACACGTGTGCTCCATTTTAAGCGGACTGCTCTTTTCTTTCTTTTTTTTCTTGGTAGACAGTGTTAGTTCTGCAGGTGTGTGTATTTTCACGACGTTAAATGGAACAGCACATCGCGGTTTTATGGCTTATTAATAGAGTTTGAATGGCTTCGCCAACTCGTTTATTAAAGCCGCATTCCTTTTTCTATACACCCTGGATAAAATGCTTTAAGCGTACTCGTATGTTGATAACATACATTGGCCAGTGCTCGAATATTCATTTTTACTTTCTTTTCGATCTATAGCTCTATATTTGCGTTTTAATTTCTGCCTCGTGAGCTAGGTGGGTTTGAAAGTTTGATTAAACTTTTTCAAGTTAAAATGAAAACCACCCAAAGAAAAAGTTAGCTGAGTTTTTTCCGGCGATGCTTTTATTTTAAAAGATCCGGACGTCTCAACACTGGTTGGTCGAAAATTTTCGCAGGTCAAGTTAATAGGCTGAGCTTTATGTCAACATTTCTCTCTCTCTCTCTCTCTCTCTCTCTATCTCAAGTCATTTGGTATGTCTGACTGCTTACTTAATCATTTCGCGATACTGATGCTGAAACATCGCAAACTCGAAACTCCTTTTAAGCTTTTGAAATAACTTTTGCCTCATCGAAAGAAAAAAGTAAAGAACGCATTTCACGTCAACAAATAAGTATGTTATCCATTTTTTCGTTAAGCAATTTTTTTATGCATCACTGTATATATGCGTCGATACACACACACACGCGCGCGCGCGCACACACATGTCGATAGGCTCGATGCTCCGCGTTCAATCAAATAATGCTACATGACTAGTGATGTTCTGTGAAGCTTTTTTCAAAGCGTCAGTTGATCTTGCGTGTAAAATATAGGTCAACATCATTCTTTATCGATATATAGAAACAAATGAAGTTACAAAAGTAACGTTCTATTTCCAAAAGAGAAATCGTTCATACATGATTGATAAGAAACTGATGCTGATTATAATCTTATAAGCATAGACATATTTCAAGTGTATTCATAGTTTTATTCGCATAATTCTATCGTAAAGGAAATTCCATCGAAAATCGGACGAGCAAAAAAGCAAAAAGTGGAAGAGAAAAAAAAATAAAACGGCGCTGCCGAAGCTAAAAGCTCCGAATCTATGAGCACAACGGCTTGAAAAGTATCAATCAGGACTTCTGCAAAGCCTTCTTATGGAGATCTTATCTTGCGTGCCCGCCCACAGTCGACAGTAGTAGCGCCTGCAGATTTGCGAAGCGTTTGTTCGTAGGAAATTTACGAGAATTTTTTGTTTCTTCCGTTTGAGTCTGGAAGCGGGCACAAGTATGCCTGGCCGGCTGTCGTCACATCTTAACCAGCTCCATAGCGAAATCACAATATAAAGCACTCCACGGGGACGCGCGGCCTTATCTCGATTCGCCAGCGCCACCATCTTCTTCCCCGATTGAATCTTCGCTGTTCTTTTCTTCCCTCCTCCCCTTTCTTTTTACTTTGGTCGTTCGAAAACCCGTTCAACTGGAATGCCAAACTTGCCCGAGTCATTAATATTCACATCACTACCTATACTTTGCACAATTGTTACTCGTTGCTGCAGATGGTAAATTTTACGCTACAAGAGTTACAAAATTGCTTTCGAAGTTGCAACTCAATTTTGTTACGATCAACTCCACAGTTTATTGATTTCTTTTTTCACAAAATGATGTCTGCGCGATATATCGACGGGACTGAAACGCGAAAAAGTGTCGATGCTTTCAATGGCGATTGCTAAATATTTATGAATTTTTAAATGACAGAATTTTTTTATTACTTATAATGGCTGTTATTTTTTTAATATTTAATTTAATTCAATATCACGTAGAAGAAACTTCTTTTTTATGGAGTTACACCTATAACTTTAGTTCTTCTTTTCCCTCGCGAACAACGATAATTTTTAGTTGAATTCGTGACAGCACAATATTTATCTTTGAACTAAACGATCCCACGTCAGTAGCAGCAGATATGAAATTCATTCTACTATTTATTTTTCGGGGAACGAAACGACTACATTACCTTAGATATATTTTTTTGGTACATATACATTTGGGCTTCTTTCTTTGTGAAAAGCGTCGCAAAGCTCTAAAAGCTTTCGATTTTCTGGAAAATACCTATTCCACAGTAGCTTTTAAAGTGTTCTAGAAAAAAATAGATTAGGTTTACTAAAGCCGGATATAGAAACCAAAGTGGCTAATACATAAAATTCAGTTTAAAAAGCTTCGGGTAATAATATTATGTTATCAGGAGTGAAATTAAGTATGAATGCCGGTTTTGCATAAAGAAAATATTTTATTTGAAACTATATATGTAAATAAAGTAAACAATTAACGCGTAAGACTTGTCAAGCGGCTAAATCGGCAGTTAGTACTTTTAATAGCATCGATCATTCGTTAGCCATTAGAATTTTTCATTAAAACTTTTAGTTATTTTCGCTTCGCTTCTCAGAGTTCCAACATAATGAAGTTACAATTATGAAAAGAAACATCTGGAAATATTTTAATGAGTGCTATATCAATTTGATAAGGCAAAACTGAGAAATGGCCACAAAACACTTTATATTTGCCATTCAATATACGCACGACAGTTTCTTAAAATAGTGAATCGGAGAAGAAAAAAAGACTAAAAAATTCTGTTATTCCTGTTTATTTATTAAGAAAATAAGTTAAAAAAATAATCACGCAATTGCAGTAAGAACGGATGACTTCTACGAGTAGACCAATCAAGTAGCTATTTGGTGTAAAATTAAGAGATGGATTAAGTCTATCCTGTGGTCTTCAGGACAAGGTAAATAGTATCCTTACATAAAATTTATATCGATTTTGTATCAGTTTTTTATGAAGGTTCAAATATCGCAGAAACACGTATTCGGTGACTCGCAGTATGCATTTTAGATGGAAAAGTCCAAGATAAAAATTGTAAAGAATTGAAAAAGCTACAATTTAAGCTGAGACGCAATCATGTTCGTTAATAAGTTATTGTCAAAAGTCCCAATAACCTTCAACAATGGTCATTTTTAACATATTGAATATTTATTGAATAAAAAAATACTTTTTCACATTACTCATTTGATTTTAAAAAATAATGTGCTTTCTACAACGGAATCTATTAATTAATTGCCGAGTTATTCTTATTAGTTTACTAACAGGCGTCGAAAGTACGTGGCTGTATAGAGTTTCAAGAAGGCTCAATCTTTTCCTCAAAACCTTATTTTTTAGGATACTTATTTACATTACCCCGAAGATCACTGAATAGGTTTGATTTTTACTTTTCTACTAAACTTTCCTCTTGTTTTACCTAAAGGTAACTTGAAATAGTTAATTTGATAAAACAATTCACGAAAGTAACAAATGACGTTTTACCAAACGTTACATAATCGAACAGCAATAGCAATAGCATAGCAATGATTTAAAGTTGTCGGAAGAGCGCCAAACAGACGCGAGTAATCAGCACCTCTAATCCACTTATCAGACCCCTGAAATCTCTGTTTCGACATATATATCGGTGCCTGCAATTTCCCATTACACCGCATTCGCCAGATAATGAGCAACGTTATTTTGTCTTGTGCTTTTTAATTCTCAAAAATAGAAGATAAAGATCTAAAGATCTACGTATGATTGTATTTCTATGAACAACGAGAATCTCTACCATGCTCATATAGCTGAGTTTGTACAGTGCGCACGCGAGGCCCGCGCGATCGATCAATCGAGCGCCTCTGTCTCTCCTCTCTCATAACCGCACGCGATAAACTAGAGGGAGAGTCGAGGCGCAGATTTAGGCGGCGCGTACCAAGATTATATAAACAAAGAAAGCCTAATGAACAGACACGGAGGGGAAAATCAGTATTTTCGATGAAAACAAACAACATATGATACGATGTAGGCAAACGTCACGTTACCGTCAGCTAACACCACTATTTACACTTGCACGCGAGGCACACAAACACACACACACTCTTGAAAGAAGATTGAGAGAAAACGATTCAAAATAAAAGAACGACGCACTCACATGCATTGGCTGAGTGTCTGTCTGCTTCCTATTCACCGGCTATCAGTTTGCAATTTACGTGTCTGCTTGAAAAAACACCAACTTCGATCACTGTTGTGCAGGTTTATACCACTTTCAAGATGGAATTATGTTGTTTTCATTTAATACCTGTCGAGACGTAGCGACTGTCGCGAATAGACGGCAAAACCTGTGTGTATGCGAACGCGTGTGCCTACTCTTCGTTTTTTCGAAAAGTCTCTAGCGACGCCCGTCCGTAGAGTGACGGACGGCGAAGACTCTTTCTCTCTCTTTCCCTATCTCACTCGTGTAGCTTGTTCTACTCAGCTCTCGCCGCCAAGATAAAGTGCATGCAGCTTACAAGAGGGGAGGCGGGAAGGGACACAACACAAAGGGTTGACGTCGGTATAGAGGCTCGCGATGCTTGTTGATCGAGCGACCGCGCGAAAAAAGAACATTGATTCTTCAAACTTGGTGTGAGCAAAGCAAGCACTTTTTTATACAAATAAGGAACAATATTTATTTGGTCATTAGTTTCTTATTTATCAAATATCCGAGTCATTTACGTCGCGTTGTCAATTAATATTTATAAATGTACATATATAAGACGAATTCTCTTCTTAATTTCGTTTCTATGACATTTTCTTTCACAAAAATGTATAAATGTTACAGATCATATGTGAATAGGTCCAACTGACTTAATGTCTATTTCATTGGGAGGTATAGGATTTTTCAGATTAACAATACCTGCTATGACAGTACAAACTTCATCTAAGTAGGGTAATATCCTCCAGTGAACTTTGGTTTGCATAATTTTGTACATCTTGAACCTATGCAACGTTCTATCAACGTGAATGCGAGCCGTTGAAATATTTTTTATTAACTCAACCTCTTGTTTACTAAATTGTTTCTTTTTTCCAAGTTTTGGTAATTTAATAAGTGTAATATTATGCTCAGCACATTCAGCTTCAATATTGAGAGTTTTATCAGCCATGATAGCCTCTCGAAGTGGATCAAATTTGTCCATTATATTTGTTTGTGTAAATACAGATACACTGGATGATTGACTATAAAAAATGTTGCTTTTAAAAATTATCAATCCAGAAGGTGCAATACCAAGCACTAATTTAATTGCTTCATCTTTTACACTATCTTCCATTAACTTTTGTTGACAGTTAAAACACCTTTGCTTTTCAACTTGTGTTTCACTACAATTTAATATTACTCTTGTTTGTTTGAATGATTGAAAACATTCAGGTAAATTTTTTATTAGTTCTTCAGTTTTAGGCCAATAAATGGTCTTTTCCAAGAGATGGGACAAAGTTCTTAACATTGCAAAAAAACTACTTGCACATAATTGTTGACTCATTCCAAATAACATACCCAAACAGGCAAAACTCAAGTTTATTCTGAGTTTACATAAACAAATTACTATTCTATTTTTGGCAGGTATATTATATTTTCTTGAACTGTTAGCTTCAACTTCAGATACTAATTCTGTTAGTTTATTTAACAATTTGAAATTGATTCCAGTAAAAGCCATCAGTTCATAATCATTAGTCAACATTTCCATTAAATTAATAGTTTGCTTCTCAATAGCCTTGTTACATATATCTATTCCTTTCTTTGTTAACAAAATATATTCATCTTCATGTGACAGAGTAGTTTTTTGTAATTCTAATAATAATTCAGCAGCTAATGTTTCCAAGTTTTTATAGCTTTTGTACAATAAATCTTCATCTTCAATTTTACAATACTGGCCACAATCAGTACATAACGTTACTGCAGAAACACCTGGTCTGATAACAGATTTTTTTATTGAACTAGTCTTAACTTTCTTTTTCAACTCCACATTATTTGTTTGATTTAAAACATTATTATTACTATTTCCTGGATTTACAATTTTATATATATTATCTTCTTTACTAATGATAAATTTCTTTTGGACATTTTTTGTATTTCGATTATATCCTTGTTTTAGTTTTTTACTTAGTGATGGTTTGATTACAGTTTCTTCAAGTATAGTAACTTCTTCTTCCAAACTTCTTTCGTTTTGTGTTGCAGTGTCATCAATACTCTTAACACTTATACTATCCTGTACTTCACAAAAAACATTCTCGTTGAATAAATGCAAATCATCTGATTTACTAATCACAATTTTTGAATTGCTAAGATCAATTCCACTTGTATTTATAATTCCATGGCTGCAATTTTCAGGAACATATATAATGGTTGTTATTTTATCATCAAGCTTGCTGAAAACCCACAACCATTTTCATGAATTATTATTAAAAACATATTTTTTATTGTTATTGAAAAATTAATCTGTACCTTTCATTGATAGTTTTTGGTTTTTGTGGTTGTGATTTTACTATAGAGTGTTTAGGTAAATTCAATTTTGGAACTGCATCAAGTTTCAAAATTTGTTGTTTTGAATTTGGTCCTGTAAGAAATGATAAATCAATTAAAATTAGTCTTTACTTCTAAATACAAATTTACCTGTTATAAAATCTGTTCTTTCAAAATGAGCACTGCAAATACAAGCATAGGGTTGTACACTCACTCTAACTCCACATGCTTGTACCCACTGTTGTCTAATATGTTCTTTTTTTGGAAAGAAATGGTAAGATGTCTTCTCATTTGGTGGTACATTACACTGAGACAGGCTACATTTTCTCCTATTTAGACTTTGATTTAGGCTTGGATCTGGTATTTATTAAAGTAAAATAGTATACAAACAATGAGTTATATATGGTTTTTTCATTGAATATACATTTTTTATAAAACTAAAAATGTATTTCAGAAAGTACACTTACTTGTTTGTTTATTTGATTCAATCATTATGTTCTCATCAAAATTGATTAATAAATTTTTGTTAGGTACAGCTGAAAGCTTTAAATGACGTAACCCCAAATCGGCAACTAGAAGTTTTTAAATAATAAGAATTCTATTTCAATGTAAATACACACATTATGGGGGCAAATTGTTACCTGCTTGATAATCGTCCTTAGTGAAATGAGATCCACATATCAGCATGTCAGAAGTGACATTATTGGTTATGTTGCAAGCGCGTATCCAATCTTTCTTCCTACTGTCATCATTAGGAAACTTATGAAAAATAGTATTTGCAGTGATTTTCGATTTACACTCTGGTACACAACATTTCTGCTTCACCTTTTTATTAAGAACACTCATATTGTCGAAGAAAACTTATAAAGAAATGTTTACATTCTTTTATAGTTTGAGTCTTTTTATCAAGAGCCCGCCAATATTAATAAACAGATAATCTTTGTACTTTGTTTTCATTCATAACACAAATGAAAACTGCAAACTTGTTAGAAAGAAATATTTATCAAAATCATAAACAAACTTTAAAAATATAAATAAATATTCCATTGCTATTTTATTTTATTTTGTACTATTTCGATGTTTGTGTGCACTTTTGAATTTTGATTTTGCATTCACAGTTCGCACTTCCATACTCGTTTGTTTTCGACATTCGACTTGTTTCGTATATCTCGCGTTGATACCAACGCCATCAAAGTGGTTCACCGAAGAAATAAAAATAGGTGGGAATTCGATTTCAACAATAGGGTACCCGTACTAGAGTAGTAAAAAAATTTGGATATCTGAAAAATACTTGAAATGAATCGATTAAAATAAAATTTTTAAATTATTAATTATTATACGTATCAAAGTACAATATTAAGCCTAATTATTACTATTGAGCATTTTCGCGTGTGAGCAGTTCATTGCATACCATGACGCATTTATTACAACTGTTAAAAAATGTAGATCACACAAAAGATATGACAATAAAATATAACATTATTCAAGATAATAGCCGATAGATATATAGCGATCTATTGCGCGGGCGTTTCGAGACGGTGACGCTCTAATCTCTATATAACTCCCCTACCTGCTCTAGCGGGGATTTCAAAAAGGGACGACCCGTGACATTAAGTAGAGACGAAATTCACATTCACGACCGCCATCGTTAAGGAATGAGGGAAACAGGGAGGACAAGAATGAGAAAGAGCGAGAGGGAGAAATGTAGAGGCGAAGGCGAGAGCGTGGCTTGTTGGGTTTCGTGGTGGGTGGCCGGCGTTCGGTGAAGACGTTCGCGTGTGGGGTCCTGCTACTTTACTTCGGCGTTCGACGAAGTTTTTGTGATATCTTCAGCAGGATGTGATACTCCAATAGCCCTGGCCACGCCGACCTAGGAATCTTGTTTAGAAATATGAGGAGAGAGATAAAAGGAGACTTTCTGCGAGTGAATTATCGTAGAATGAAGGTGAGTATTTCTTTGGGTATTTTTTTGGTTTATTTGATGACGAAGTCACGTGCCCAACAGACTGAAAAATTAATTTTTTATTTGAGTAATGCAAAGTATTCTGGAGTGTTTACAAAAATTTTTGAAATAGTATTCATCATATAATTGCCATTATTTATATTCACGATATTATTTCCATGCAAACTAATATATAAGATTCTTACAACACTGAGCCTTCATTTTAAAATGCATATGAAAGTAAAAACACAAGTTTTCACCTAATAATTTAGTTATTATGTTTTCAGATGATACTACTTTTTTACTTAGCTGTCTTAGTGCCTTCATCTAGATTAGAATTAAATAATAGTTTTGAAACGCATAGACTAGATAATACATCCTGGAGTGATTATCATAATATTCGTCATAAAAGATATTTTACTGACAGATTTGGAAATGATGAATATCCAGCAGATCCAGCTAATTGCACAAGACCTGCAAAATGTATACCATTGGAAAATGCAACTTGCTTTGGAACAAAACTCCCATATGACACAACAACTTTGGACCTTATTCCAGAGTATAGTACACAAACTATGATTAAGGTAATATATTAATTACAAATGGGTATATACAAGCTTGTTTTAAAACTCACTGTTCAACTCTATGCTATGTTTTGTAGGAAAGATTATATGTATTACAAGGTCTAAAACATATTCCTAAGTGCTGGGCAGTTGTACAACCTTTTCTTTGCTCTCTATTTATGCCTAAATGTGTTAATGGTACAGTGAATTTACCATCTCATGAGATGTGTCGTGTGGTTTCTGGTCCATGCAAAGTTATTTTTAATAGCACTATATGGCCAAAATTTATAAAGTGTGATGATACAAAACTGTTCCCCCATTTATGTATGAACGAAGCAAGAGAATTGAAATTTAACACAACATCAAAGTGCCTTTCACCATTAGTGCCTACTGATAATGCTCTTGCTATATTTGAAGGAGTTGAAGGATGTGGAACTCCATGTAATGACCCTCTTTATACACATGACGAGCAAAAACAAATACAGTCATTTATTGCTTGGGCTGCTAGTATTTGCATTTCTTTTAATGCATTCACTGTGGTAAGTCCAGATTACACAGCAATTATGAAATTTAGTTTAATCGAGTATTTACGTGAAATATACATTGTTTCAGATAACGTTTATAATTGACTGGAGGAGTGCCAATAAATATCCAGCATTAGTGATATTTTACATAAATTGTTGTTTCATGATATCTTGTATTGGATGGCTTGCACAGTTTACATTTAATACAAAAGAAAACATTGTTTGCAAAAAAGACAATACGCTAAGGATGAGCGAACCAAGGTTTATATAAAAAATTTAATTACTAATTTAAATTAATAACATGTAAGATGTATGTTTTATCTATACTTCTAGTGGTGATTTATCCTGTGTAGTAATATTTATATTAGTATATTATTCATTAATGGCAGCTATGGTTTGGTTTGTCATTCTAACTTATACATGGCATATGAGTTTTCAAGCTCTTGGAAAAATTCAAGATAGAATTGATAAAAAAAGTGCATATTTTCATCTATTAGCTTGGTGTTTGCCACTGATGTTAACAGTGACAATAATGGCATTGGGTGAAATTGATGGAAATAGCATGATAGGAATTTGTTTTGTTGGATACAATAACCATATTGTCAGAGCTTGGTTTGTACTTGGACCTGTTTTAACCTTTGTACTTATTGGAGGATACTTTTTATTCAGAGGTAAATTAAAAAAAAATGCTAAAATGAAGATATAAATTTAATAAAATTGTATTATTTTTCAGGATTAATAACTTTAATTCGCTTAAAAATTAGCAGCCAAGAAATTATATCTGAAAAAGCAAGTTCAAAGATACGAGAAACTATTGTTAGAGTGGGTTTATTTTCTACATTTACATTTGCAGCTGTTATTTCAACATTTTATTGCCATTTATATGACTTTGAACATTCAGAAGAATGGAAACAAAGCTTCAGAGAGTTTATACTGTAAGGTTATAACTGATTAAAACAAAATCATCTACAACTTCTATAGTAATAAATGTAATTATTTTGCAGCTGTTCCATAACATCGAAATATGCAGAAGTTTCAGAATGTAAAATAAAATCAAGACCTAGCATAGCAAAATTACAACTCCATTTACTGACTCCATTTTTTACTGGTATCTTGATGTCTTCTTGGGTCTGGACAGGATCAACCATTGATACATGGATGAGATTTTTGAGGAGGTATTTTTATTTATAAAAGTGTAGTTCTTGTTGACCAAATTTGCTTTTAATTACAGAATTTGCAACCGTGAAACTGAAGAGCCAGTCAAGTTAAAAAAACACAAAGTTATAGCTCAAGCATTTGCAAAGAGAAAAATGTTTAATGATGCTGGTCGTCTATCTATTACCTTCCATAATACTCATGAAGATCCCGTAGGTTTAAATTTTGACCTTAACTCTGTAGCCTCTCAGGATTTTAGTTCGACATGGGCTGCAGCATTGCCAAAACTGGTTACAAGAAGAGGGGCGTTAGTTAACAACTCAATATCAAGTAATCGTAGAAATTCGACAGATTCACAATATAGTTTTAGTTTACGCCGTGTGTCTGTTGAATCTAGAAGAAATTCTTGTGATTCTCAATTTGCTTTATCTATAAGTGAAATGAAAGCCGAGCTAAAGACACATAAGAGTAGTCACAAACGAAGGAAAAAATTATCAGAAAGAACTAGAAAAAGGTCTGATTCTTACAGAAGAGGAAGACGAGATTTTGAGAAATCGAGATCAAGTAAAGTCATAGCTTATAGAAGAGGCAGTACAACATCACAGGAAAGTCAACTCGGTGTACAAATTCTTTCTGCTTTATCAATTGGAGCTGCTTCAAATAATGTGCCATTGCAAGTACCAAATATGAAGAGACGTCCAGGTTTGCCTGAAGGAGCTTTAGCTCTAAAAGACGCTGAAAAACTTTTACCATTTTTATTTCCGAGGTCGAGTGAGACTGATGAAAATATGAGTAGTGATGAAAAGAAAAATGCAATAACAGATAAAGATAGAGATGTAGAAGTTGCACATAGGGATAATAATAATCAAGATAGCGACAATGAAGATAGTCAACCTGAGGAAGATGCAAGAATGTTAGAAACAATAGAGATGCATGAAAGGAGTAGAAGTAAAGTCAGCAATAAAAGCTCTAAGAGTTCTAAAAGCTATAATCGAAGTTATGACAAAAGAATATCTGCCGAATGCCAAACAAAATATTTCTTAGAAGATGAAGCAGCTTCAAAGCATTTACTTCATGAATCAAAAGATACGAAAGTGAAGGATAATGTTGAAGAAATAAATGGCAAAAAACCAATTAAAAGTAATTCAGGTTCAACCAATTCATCTTTTAACCCAGAATCAAACAAATCTACACAGTTTGATGGACAATCACATGCAAGAGAAATTGCCACACAAACTCTTCCACTTGAAATGTTGGAAATTTTATCTTTGTAACGAAATTTTATAAACTATCTACATTTTGTATTTTGATACCAAATGAATGATTGATATAACAATATGAAGTGAAATAAGAGCCAACGTTAGAATGAGTACAATATTTTTATATCTTAAGCATATAATTTTTGAATATAATTGTGACTAATACCTCATAATTAACGTATGAGTAGTGTAAATAACATTTAGTAATTAAATTTAAATACAGCTATCTATGTGTTACAATGTGTTATTCTAACATTTAATTTTATATAATAACAATGTGTAAATATAATTTTAATAAATTTTCTATTGATTTTGTAAGTCACAGTGTGGTTCTAATATTTGAATTTGAAAACAAAACTTGTTTTGCGTTTGTAAATGGATGAAGAGAAATAACTGAATATAAATAGTTTAATATACACAATATTTATTAACCTAAACTTAGAAAACCACTATACTACAAGAACAGAGATCGCGCGGTAAATAGCTGCACACAGTTATCTGAGATCTTATTCATAATAATTCCTGTCGATAAGGCAGAGAGAGATTCGCGAGGTAACAATAACCTGTTTCCTCCAATGCTGCCGCTCGTCATGGAATCGATCCCCACATTTTGTATTTAAAAATTGCAATCGATTTTTTTAAATCGAAACTTATACAGAATGACCCAACTAACTAAAAAAAGAAAACAGACTAAGGTCATGAGATGTCGCTACGTAAAAATGTATTACGCTCATATGTACGATATATATTCAGCCGATACATACCATATGTGCATATAGTATATGCAATTTAGCATGTATATACCCTTACCACAGCCAAAAAACTGTAGTGGACATTCGAAACATCTCTAACTCAACCCAACCCTCCACAAATGATCATTATTTTAGTTGAACTATAAAAAATTAAAAACTATGTACCTTTTTTGGTTTTTTGTAACTGTGATACCTTTCGCACAACTTAATATTTTTGCAAAAAAATAAGAAAAAAATTGAACCTTTCCTCGTTTTAATTGAACCCCTCTTACTTTGTTAAAATTATTAATATGTCGAAAACAACAAGCTAATTTGATTGTATGTTCTTACTAAAAAGATTAGTTAACGCGCATGTGTTTTAGTAAGAACATATAATAAAATTAGATTGTTGTTTTTGACATATGGGTAATTTTTGGCTATTTTGATTGACTTGTAACCCTTAGGTTACGGATTTTTTTTAATTTGGCATAATTGTTGTACACATAAAAGTGAGATTTTTCCCAAATTTTGAAGACGATACATTAATTATATCACAAGTTATTAACAATTAAAGAAAAATAATAAAAAATTGTCAAACGGCCATATTTTAAAAACTAATAAAGATATCGAAGGCGGATTTTTTTGAAAATACTTATAATGCCTTAAAATTTCGAAATAATTACAACAATAAACAATAAAAACTTTTTTTCGAAAGTTATTAACTTTTTGTTTAAGCAATTGCTAATATCTCAAAAAGTATATTTTTTTTTTTGAAAAATTCTTGCTCCTACGTGTTCTTGAGGATTTTTGCTATCGAAATCAATCATAAAATTCAAGGGCCCGACATATCAGAAGGCGTAGCCTTAATCAAAAGAAGATGCCTCGGTGTACGTCGCAACGGCAGCGGGACGTTTTCGTGGTCTTACGCTGAGGCGTTTTCTTCTAATTAGGGACCTTCCGATATGTCGGGCCCTTAAATTTTATGATTGTTTTCGATAGCCAAAATCCTCATGAACACGCAGGAGCAAAAATTTTTCAAAACAAAAATATACTTTTTGAGATATTAGCAATTGTTTAAACAAAAAGTTAATAACTTTCGAAACAAAATTTTTATTGTTTATTGTTGTAATTATTTCGAAATTTTAAGGCATTATAAGTATTTTTAAAAGAATCCGACTTCGATATCTCTATTAGTTTTTAAAATATAGCCGTTTGAAAATGTTTTATAATTTTTCATTAATTGTTGATAACTTTTGATATAATTAATATATCGTCTTCAAAATTTGGGAAAAATCTCACTTTTATGTGTACAATTGTGCTATATTAAAAAAAGATCCGCAACCTAAGGGCTACAAGTCAATCGAAATAGCCAAGAATTACTTATATACGGGGTGTTTCATTTTAATTCGATCACGCGCATAACCTAGTAAAAACCAACGTTATCAAAAAATAACCTCTACAAAAGTTGCTTAATACTTAATACGTTTTTCATGGCCATCTAAAGGTCAAAGTGCTTTTTTTAATGGGAACCCCTATTTTTGATCCCGGAATCGTGTAAAGTGGGAAAAATTCCATCTAAAATGAAATGTTTGTTTTTACTAGGTTATGCACTGGGTTAGATCAAAATGAAAAAAAAATCAAAAAACAAAATGAAAAATGAAAATGTATTAAAAGAAATTCAAATATTTTCTCTCTGAGTTTATTCGGGCTAGAGACCGACGTTATTAAAATAACGGCCGCATTAAAAATATTTGTTCTTTGTCTTCTTTGTCGAACTTTCTCTCTTCTTTATCTTCGACGGTGTCGAAAATAGAAGTAATAGAATTCAGTCGATCTCTATTACTTCTATTTCCCCACCTCCGATGACTGGACTTTGTGGGCCATCCACCAAGTCTATGACAATTGGCCTCGCAGCATCCTCAAAATCAGCTAACACTGGCGGTGGGCTAGGTAGTGGTGGAGATGTTTCTCTACCACCGTAGGCCCTGATGTATTGTAGATCAGGGTCCTTGTTGCAGTGTTACCTATGATGCAAATATGTCTCGACGTACATATTTGTCTCAAGACAGCCGTTGTTCAAGCAACGAAACCGTGCCCTCTTCAAGAGACTACGGTAAGCATCGTTGATGCTCAAATGATCTCGGCACTGAGTCCAGATCATTGAGCATCGCTCACCGCAATCTCTGCACACGGTGTGGCCCTGAGGTTAGCTCACCGCCGTTGGCAGAAGATAGCCGCAGCAGAGGAAGCACGTGATGTCGAACACGTCACTAACGGCTTCAATATGAAGCCGCTTCGCTTCCTCGCTAGAGGCTGCTGCGCTGCTCTCCCTGAGTTGTAAGAAATTTTCTATTTAAATAAAAAATAAGAAGTAATATAATATTTTTAATATACTATTAAAAAAAAATTAAAAAAATATATTTAATAAACACTGGTTAATAATTATTAAAAAACTTACCTTTCTTCGTTCTGAGAAAAAACTTGTGCCGTTTCTGGCAACCTCAGTTTGCGCCGCATGATAGGTGCGAAGCCGCAAACGCTGCTTCGCACCTTTTCGGCACTTCTCCGTCCTTCGGCGTCCGCTGCCAGAGGTAGTCGCTGCCACATCATAATTGATAGGCAGGATCGCCCATCTGGCCTGGCCGTCGATGGTGTCTATGACGGCCGCGCACCCCGAAGGCACTACTTCACGAGGAAGTACGGGAGCTTCTGGAAGCAAACACGGCGTCAATTGCCGTGAGCGCATACTCCAGACGTTCACCATCCTCCTTTGATTGAATAAATTTGAGATACAACATCGATGGACGTGCGTCCGCTTTCTACACTATTGCATCGGAAAGTTAACGCCTGATTCAGCGGACCTCTGATGCTCACGTTCAATAAAGTGTTTGTCATCGCAAGCGATATGACACTTGGAAAATTCTAGTTCTATACCGCCTGGTGGTAAGACTCCGAGGTCTTAGGCGTAGAGGGCAGATTGTTCCTTTTTATCCACGTTGCCCGCTATAACCTTTATCACGCGATGTGCGACTTTTTATAAGCAATTGTAGATGTCAAAAAAAAAACACAGATAAGTTTTCTTTTAGCTATGCCATTGATGCAATAGTTACTCAGTCTAGTCCAATCATCAGAGATTTTTTCGTGCAAAAATAAATTTATTAATACTTTTGTATTAATAATTTATGCAGATATTGGACTGTGGCGTGCAAGTATATTAGGTTTAAAAGTATATGTGGTAGAAGCATACTAATTAACATTAAGCTCTTATTAAAAAGTGAAAGATGCCATATTAAAACATTTTATTCGTGATTTGATATGCCCATGTGGAGAAAGCATGAGAATTTTAATTAAATTAAAGTCGTTTTTAGTTTTTCATTTTTAATGAATGATGATGACTTTTAAATAAAAGAATATATATAATTAAGAGAGTTAATGCATTTATGTGTTGATCGAAGTAGTGCCATTAATTATTTTCTAATTGTAATTAAAGTAAATTCAATGAGCACTCAATTTCAACTTTTAGAAACATGAATTATGCCTGAAGACTAACTTAATGTAAGTATGATGATGGAGAAGGCTAATTAATTTTATTACGTTTAAATACATGATTTTATTGAAATAAAATTAATGAATAAAAAATAAAATAAAATAAATTTAATGAATAAAAGGTAAGTTGAATTAGTATATGTATTGGTATAATTAATATTTTAAAAACAACAGATTACATACATACATTTTTGTCAAAAAAAGGAATTTTTGACATAAATTTTTCATAATATACATTCATAAACAAATTTTCATTAAAACAAACTGTTTGAATACATTTTGAGTTTGATTTTTCAAAAATAAGAGCTGATTTATCATTTTTTTAAATTGTAAAAATTTAATTTTTAACATTTCACTGAAAATTAACATATAAAGCTGCGTCTACAAAATTATTGATGTAAGAAATACGTCAAATTGACAAATAGGATGTAATATAAAACCATATTTATAGTCAAATGAAATCTTTAGGAAAATGTAAAATATATTTAACGAAAATTAACGTAGGCGCGGTAGATAGTATAGACAAGCTCATTCTTTTTTACATGATGAGATGTATTGCTCACGTTAAATTTTGTTGAGTTGTATATCATGTTTGCATTATTTATTTATTGAAGAAACTATTGAGTATATCCATAAAAGAAGGTAGTGTATGCACAGAAATTAATCTAATATTTATTTAAATGTTAATCTAATATAACTCGTTCAGCTTTGCATACACTTACACATTACACAGTCGCGCACTCTATATGCAAGAAAGCCCCCTCTCTCCTCTAAATGTACGCAGAAAGTCCGCGTTCGTAGCTTATAAAAATTTTCTGAACCGTTTGTGCATGCACGTCTGTATCCGCAGCTTGGAAAATTTTTCCAAGGTGTTAGTTTAGGTACGCTGTGTCGTCCACCAGAATAGACTGAGAAAATTATTAATTGGTTATATTTGACAGCTGTTGTCAGAGGCTCTGGTGATAATGGTGAAACATTAAGAGTGTTTATTTGTTTTTGGAGCACCATCGTCAGTAGCAGTTTCCGCGAGTAGCTTTTGCGTGTGCAATCGCACAGCTTTTGTTTGTCTACATCATAGTAATAATAAATCAAAACCTGTAAAGGATGACAATGGGCGATGAGACTCCAGTTACATCACTCGTTCTTCCAGTAATTTTACGACCTATTTTGGCAAAGGTAAATTTTTCTATTTGATGTATCCATCTTACATTTCATAAAGCGATATTGCAGGTTTTTTATTATGCAGTATCATTGATTATGATCTACAATTGATTCAATTTTTCGCGTTGTTTATTTATTCAACTTGGACGTTATTTATGATTACAGTACCTTATTTACTACTACATTACGTTATTTATGATTACCTTGCCTATGTATTAAAGTGATAAATATGAAAAAGTAAAAATTATTAGAAGGGTACAAAAATGTTTAGTTTGTTTGTTTCCTTAACCTGTTAGAAAAGAAAGTTTATCAGACAGAGAAAGTTAGGAATAATGCACTTCTTTAAGTGAAATGTCACTAATATGTGATTTTCTCCTATAGTTAGAAAGGCAGAATGTAATGGCTGCTCAGACTCTTCGCAAAGCACTAGCTAATGCAGAACTCAATCACCCAGGGATTACCTATGATTTAGTATTAGGTCTAGTACGCAGAGCAGATCTTAATCTAGATATGAATGAAAGTGTACTTCGTTTACAAGGTCTAGCATCAGATTGTGATGGTATGTTTATTGATAAATCTTTGGGAATAAAAATTAAGCTAGTTTTTAAATTTACAAGAGAAATATAAAACATTTTATATTTGCAGTTGTTGAATATCGATCGGGACGTCCAGAAAATGCATTTCAAGAACTTAACAAGAAATCTACATCTTTGAAAAGGATATTGAGTAGAATTCCTGATGAAATAACTGATCGTAAAACATTCCTTGAAACAATCAAGTAAGTTGTAGAACATAATTTGGTTTTTTTTCCAAAATACTTTAGACAATTAATACAAGATTAATTTTATAGAGAAATAGCAAGTGCTATCAAAAAATTATTGGATGCTGTTAATGAGGTCACAGGATATATACCAGGCTCAGCTGGAAAACAGGCTCTCGACCAACGTAAAAGAGAATTTGTTAAATATAGTAAACGTTTTAGCAATACCCTTAAAGAATATTTTAAAGAGGGACAGTAAGTTTTAATTATTTTTTATACTATTTCATTGACTTTGTTATTTGATAAAAAATTGATAAAATTTCTACTTTTTTTTAGAGCTAATGCAGTATTTGTGAGTGCTTTATACTTGATTCTTCAAACAAATATGATAATGCTCACTGTAGAGGATAAGTGCGAATGAAAGATTATATGAACTACCAATATATTATTAGAGATGTGCGCTTTTATTAACAAATGACATTTTCATATATAATATATGTTTAATGAAACTATCAAAAATGATTCTTCTCTTGTTATTAATAAAAACAATTTTGCATTCCAAGATTAAGAAAATAAAAACATAAATGTAGTTTTCATTCAATAAGAAGAAATAAAAGTTATTTTATTGATAACAACTTCATATAAATGCACTGTAGTTTCATACTGAAAAATGGTATGACTTAGCTATCTACATTCTTTGTAATTACTAACAGATTCCATTAGTAATCAGAAAGATAATCAGTTAGACAAATATGAACACTTGGGATGTTCAAGCTCTTTTACTATCGGCAAGTACTCTAACAATACTGCCCACTCCACTAACATTATATAGTTTTTCATGCCACACCAATAAATGTCCACTGCTACCTTCATTTGGTATTTCAAAACCACGGTATATGTATTTCATCAGATTATCCTGCAGATCACGATCCAGTTGAGCTATGCAATCATCCATTTGATTTGTTTTTATACTTAGTAGTACTTTTTGAGTCAAGTTTCGAGCATTGTCCTGCAATAAATATATTATAATTCATTAGAACAATTCAGCTAGTAAAAAGTTTCTTTGATCTTTACTTCAATAACTTTTTTAATTTGGCACTCCGTTACCCAAAATACACTACTTGAGTATATTAATAATATAAATGTTACAAAATTGAATCAATTCAAATATTAGGTACTATGTACTTTGATCAATCATTTGACATGATTAAAACTTGAAGTAATAAGACTATTAAAGTAATAATTGAAATAAATATGACTCATAACACAAGAAAGAAATAATTTGTTTTAAAAGGTTACCTTAACTTGCTGGTTTTTACACCCTAGGGGAGCTGATTTTAGAACGGAAATTAAAGCTTCAGCATGTTTACCCTTATAGAATAATTAAGGAAAGTTACAATTGCTAAAAGCTGTAAAATGTAAATGTGTTAAATAAAAATTAGTAGTTATAAAGGATATTGGCTAAGGAGTGAGAGTATCTCATTCTCGTCTGGTCCAGTAGGTCCGGTGACTCCTTGGTCGGGATCTTCCTCTTTAAAATTATTCTCGTTATACTGGTCGACATCAATTTTACGAAAGGCTGTGCCTGACGTGTCTTTGATTTTCCTATCGTCGGACTTCGACATTTTCTCTTGACTTGACGTTTCAACGCTGCGCAGTGCTGCATTCACATTCGATTCTGACGCCGAGAATGCTACGTACACATGTAATCAGAATCCAAATGTGTATACATGTACGCCCTCCCATATACAGGAACAAGAGTCGATCTGATCATCTGATCATAATATATTATTATATGTGCACGTATGCATGCACCTACAGATATACCAACAATCGTTTATTAGAGCTCATTTTTACCGATCGAGAAAAGGTATGTGCGTATAGTACTCTGCCGAGATATAAGAGTCAACCAGTCGGGATAAAAATGGTAGTGACGTGCTACCGTCACAATGTGCAACAATGTAACGTTCAAGCTTTAAGCGTCACGCACTAACATGAATCAAGGCCTTTGCATTTTGTTTTGAACTTTGCCCGGACATTAATCTGTAACCTGTTAAATTCAAATGTCAAAATCCAAATTATTTTTGATAATTGAACATCGATGGTATCAAACGTGCCTAGGGCTATTGTTTTGGCAAGTTGTGTTCCGCAACGAAGTAGAGAAAATCCATTTGATACTCTTGAAGCTCAATCGTCGAAAATAATACGGATTTTGAACGTTGCGGATTGCAAATTAATCTCCAGATAGTGTATATATATAAACTTAATTTGTTCAAATACGTTTTTGAATTATGAAGTTTCTTGTTTTTATCTTGTTAGTGTTACAAGTACTTTTGCAGCAAAATTAGTATTTAGCCATATAAGGTTGCCAAGAAGTATATTATGTGATAAATTTCAGATAATGAAAATTTGAATATCAGATTGGAATAACTCTATGGACTGCACGTATGCATCAAGTTGACGTGGCGCATCGGAGTCCTCAGGTACCCACAGTCATTAAAACGAAACGAAACGCATCAAGTTGACTGATTTTCGTCTGACGTCCCAGATACCGTCGTATTGTAAAGTGTCTTTTGTTTGTCTAATTTTCTACTTGCACCTTGCATCGTTACACGCCAGATTCATACGATATTCGAACGATAGCTTGAATGATTTAACTTGACTTTATAGTTGAGAATGTGGAACAATGATAGTAACACAACTATTCAAAACTGGGAAACGGGACATGACGATACTTTATTAAACTGGAAATCAGTCGAAAATTGTGTACCTGTGATGCTTGCACACTTACATCGTTATGGTGAAGGATTGAAGATATGGGGTATGCCAACTAGGATTATTACATTTTTAGCTATTGTTGAAGATGTAGATGTTGTCAATACAAGAGTAAACTTCAAATTTCGTGATGAAACCGGTAAAAATTTATTTATGTAACAAAATAGCATATTTTTTTCAAATTATTATTTATATATATATATATATATATACACACAAAATTTTAGGATCTTTAAAGGGTGTCCAGTGGTTATGTAATGAAATTTATGAATGTCCTGTAAAAATTAATTCATATGCTAGGGTTTATGGAAGTATGAGAAAACAAAATTATGAAAATTTTATACTGGTTGCAAAGATTCAACCCATGGATCACTTGAATGAGTTGTGTGCCCATTTGATGGAAGTAACATTTATTTGTTTAGAAGCAGAAAATTTGTCAATTCAAGCAAGCCAAAATCATTCAGCAAACAATACTTCAATTAAAAACAACAATCCATCAATTTTTGCTCCACCCTCTAATGATGATAATGATTGCAGTAATTTGACTTATGAACAAAATCTTGTTATGGATATCATTACTCGTGGTCATCCAGAAGATGGAGCAGAAAGGTCTGCAATCAAGTGTCAAGTACCTTTATATTTAGCACCTAAAGTTGATGCAATTTTAGAATTTCTGTCATCAGAAGGTCATGTTTATACAACTAAAACTGACGATTATTTTAAAAAGCTCTGACGATTGAAAAGATACATCTTTTAAAGTAATGATATTTTTATTATAACAATATAAAAATAATTAAAAGATTTTTGTTTAGTTAACAAATATGTGTTGAAAAAATTATATTTATAAATGGTTTTATATGACTTAAATGACAATGTTACAACTATAAATTAAAAAATAATTTTAGTGAAAGAATTGTCTTTAATTATTTTTGATAATTTCCTTGATCCTAGAGATGTACAAATTATATTTGCTAGCAATTGATTAACGCTTAAATTATTCATCTTGTTGAAGTGATAAGTTAATAAGAATAAATACATTTTTGCTTTTAACATTTTATCTAAATCTATCATTGAAACAGAAAAAATTAATAATATACTTTAAGACTAGCAATCATAAGTAATTTTGATTAATTAATTTAATATAGTTAAAAAATATTAAAACAAAAAATATGTTAACTATATAATAATAAAATAGTTACTCAAATATCTTCAGAACGAAAAGTAACAAGATCTTCAATTTTAATTTTTTCTTCAGACTCAACACTCTCAAAGCTTGGGATGTTGATAATAGGCAAATTTTTAACTTCCTGTTTGCCATATATATCTTGAAAAATTATCTGAATATGGTTTGGTTCAAGTGCCTCTACTGTGAAATTGTCAAATAGTCTATTTATTATTCATTCAATTTTTTAATAAGTTCTTTCAAACAATGTCTTTACATACTTTGGCAGTGGGATTCACAAGTATTTTTACAAATATTATCTTCTGCTAATTGTAACCAAAGCTTTTCTCTATGATACTGTTTTGTCGCTTGCTCTAAAGCTTTCGAAAGTGCAATCTGTAATATATTTTAAATATATTTAAAAAACAAATAAATGTCAAATATTAATTAATTTGTTAGCTTGCATATATTTGAAAATGATCAAATGGTATGCAATAATTAATATGTCACAATATATTAACATTCACAGAAATCTAAAAATTTGATCTACATGAATTCAGTTTAGACTCAATGTCAAAACAAACCCCATCCCATAACAAAGATAGTTGTTACGTTACCTGACACTTCTGCAGCTTAGTCATGCCATGTAGGCCATTCGCCCGGCATAAAAGGCGGTAGTTTGCTTCCGAATTACGCGGCTGTAGATCGGTGATTGGTTTCATGCGCATCAGACTTTTCTTAACTCCGGTCTTCCTGCAGACTCTCGAGAGTAAATCGAGCCGGCCCGCGCGGAAATGTTCGTGCAAGAACTCGTGCAGATCGTGATTGTCAGTATTGACTAACTCGCGGCTGTGTAAACTGACCTTGCGGAATCCGTAAAGATTGAGCTGGCGAATGAAGCTCGCGATGTTGGTGGTTTTGAAGATGGAATTGTCAGGTTGCAGATACTCCTGGCCGAAGAGCGTGTAATTGATAAGGATGCTGATGCCGTTGATACCCCATTTGATTGCCCCTGACTTGCATTCGTTGACGATACGCCAGAGCTTCTGAGGGAAACGTAGCGACGGAATCGTGCAGTCCTCGTTAAGCATCGCCTGGCGATATTCTGAAGTAAAGCTCTGTTCTTCCATTCTATGCACCTGGCCAGCTGACTTTTTCACTGATGTTGTTAACGTCGTGGTCGGCCGATTCGAACAAATGACTCGAATGGGTTCAGTTATCTAGGCTTTTAAACAGACGAACATCGACTGTTCTTTTTCTTCGAATGTCAGATCGTCGTGACTTGCATCGGCTTATTTGCGTCCAGCAAGGTGCATTTTTAAAAACCTTCTATTGTTTAAAGATCTTTAATAGATTTTCATTTAAATTCTATCCGGTGGAATTGAATTTTCTTCTCTACGCATTTTAGTAACAGATTGAAATTATTTATCAAATGTAATATGATATTTGAGTGTTCTTGAAAAATTTATGAGTATATTAGTGTATTGATTATAAATAAAGTAAATAAAAGAGCAGTAAATTAATAAAATTACAGATAAAAATATTGTCATACATTTTCAGAAAACCACAAAAATGATTTGAAAATTATGTATACCCATTACACAATCACTTTACGAATATAATTTTCAGCGACAGTTCATAAACAAATGAATAATAATAAATTTCTTTTCACAACTCTACTGTCAATGAATTTTTAAGTATTGTACTTTAATATAAGATTATACAATTTAATACTTCATTTCAGATTCAAACTTTTTGTTAATGAACTTATATCTATCTGGACTAACAACTTATCATCGTGCATTCTTATTAAATAATATATTACAAAATTAAATACTCGTTGGTTGATATTGCGTAGAGACGATACAACTTTAATTACGATTAGATTTTATTCGTTCGTATAAAATAATATAAGATTTATGTATTATGATTTGGATACAAAAAAAATGTCTCGCGGCACTTTCTAAAATTTTGTTAAGTCGTAACATTTCACGGAATCTTGATATGTTCATGTAGAAATTGTTTATAAAAGTATGTACTCTTAATTGATGCGAGATCGGTGAGGATAATGAAAATATCGAACGACCATGTGAAAAATATCTAGGGTACGAATGGCAACGAAGTTTGGGAGCGGGTTTCAGCTGTAAAGTCAATTGGCTCAGTTTGAGGTCTTCTACGTAATCACGCGTTACATGTTAATAATTTTTTTAGAGGACTAAGTTTTTGTTATCCACCGAAGATGGGAAGAGTGATGATTACAGTTATTAACATCGATATGCATGTACTTTGATGGTCGATCCTACTGTAAATGTAAAATCATTTCCGCAAAATAAATAAATGCTAGAGTAGGCATTGTTTTTCTTGAGCGAGTACAATTTCACAGCAACAGCAAAATATCCTTTAGAACAAGCCTTTATTGGAATTAATAACTCGGCAGAAAAAGAAGCATCAAAGATTCGTAATGAAAGAAAATTAATGTTGAAAGAATCGAATGATTCAGAATAATTTATTTAGACGATAAACATAAGTTATAGAGTTGCTCATCTTTTGATAAATTGAAACGCGTGTTTTTTTATTTATTTATCTTATTGGACCTCGAGTCAAGTAATACTGAAGGAAGTGCAACAGAAAGACTGTATTTACAAAAGAATAATTTATAACACGAGCTGAAATTATAGTTAAATAATTGGTCATATACTGCTTTTGTATTTCAGAAATACCTCTAAAGGTGGCTATTGCCCATGTAGTTTAAACAATTTTCAATCAAAATCTGTAAATAATATTATCTAGTTTTATTTCATTCCGGTAAAGTAGGTAGTAAATGAAGACGACTCGTTCGTTAATATAAAAAATTTTATGCATGACCCACTGTATATAGAAGTATTAGCATAAATATAGCTTTTTACAAATCCAGATAAATTTTCTAAAATCTACGTATTACTCGATCGGTTTGTACAAATATAATTTGTAGCTGCTGCTTATAAAGACTATAGATAACTTTATACTCGCGGTGCTTTAAAAAACACATAAAATATTGTATTTACAATTTTTGAATCTAGTACTACATCTTAAATTTGAAGTATACATTTATAAATAAAAATCATATAGATATTCGTTCTTTGAAATTTCAATCTAATCTATATATACTTACATATAATTCTTATTATTATAATATTATTATAATTTACACTGATCCAGTGTTCACGAAAATTACGATGCTATCTATGATTGAAGTAACTTAATTTTTACAAAACGACTTATGAAACATGATCACCGTAGAGGGGCTATGTACACACGGTATAGCAGATATAGTAGAACATAATGTATGTGCCTTTCGCTATATAAATCTAATATTTATGCCTTTTTGTGTATTGCATTCTAAAGTATAACTTAATACTTTATTTTCGCAGTCGATATATTTCAGTACATTAATTTGATCGTCATTCCTTATAAAGTAATGCTTAATTTCCATATTATTGAAAAAAAATCGAAAATGTATTGATTAATTCTAACGTCTACGCTATGTATAGGTACATTCAGTTCAGTATTTAGCTTAGTAATTACAAACGAGTATATTATTTAGGTAATGGCGTGACTCGGACATGTTATCTACATTATATCTAAGATACTTTATATTGCTTTCAACTTGCCATCATCTCTTGAGGCAACAGCAAGCTCTAATTGTTGTTTAATCACTTTAGTTTCTAACGTTCGATTATCCAGGCGTTCATAAAAAGTATGGATAAATCGAAGCACGGAAATTCAGGTGGGGATGGGTTGGAAGTACTCGCGAAGCGTGGCTGGCGACGGCAACAAATAACCGTCGGGATCGAGGACATCTGGAGCGCGAATGGTGACCGGGCCTTGAGGTGGCCTTGGCAGTGAGCTCAGCTGGCTGGGCTTATCTTGAGCCTTTTCCAGACGCTCGACGATTTCAGCGAAACGAATTCGGTCGCGTGGCTCCGTTTTCCAACAGTCGCGCATCAACTGGCACACGTACGCTGGACAGTCTTCTGGCGGTATTAGCATGATGCCTTGCAGAATGAGTTTCATTACCTGCCAATAATATTAACCGTTACTTTTTCATTGACCGATCGTGTTCGTTTGTGTGGATTAAAAATCAGACAAAGGTGAGGCGAAGTTGTACCTCGTCGTTGTTATGCCCGTAATACGGTTGCTTTCCAAACGAGTAAACTTCCCATAAAACCACTCCGAAACTCCACACGTCGCTCTCCAACGTAAATCTTCCGTATACGACACTTTCGGGCGACATCCAGCGAACCGGCAACAGTCTGGAGCCTCCAATCTACGTGGAATTGCGTCGACAGCTGATTAGTAAGCATCGAGGCAACGTTGTCGTTGAAAATTACCTTGTAATAATCACAGGTATAGACGTCGCGCGACATGCCGAAATCGGCGATTTTGACGACGAGGCCGGAACCAACCAGGCAATTTCTGCAGGCGAGATCTCGATGAACGAATCTTTGTGCGGCGAGGTACGCCATTCCCGCCGCTATCTGCGTCGTTATCCAGTGAAGGGAGTCCTGCATGAAACGCGAAAAGCCATTTAAAGACAAACGGACGCGAGAACAGGGGCCCATACGTTTGCGCGTACGTGCAAACGTCAATGTTGATCTTTGTCCGGATAATCGTACTTTGCTCAGAGGCTGTAATCCAGGAGTGGGCGCCCTCAGCGTGGGCGAGTTGGCGCGCAGAACCTCGGCCAGGTCGCCGTAAGGCATGTACTCGAAGACCATCCAGGGCCCGTTACTGGTGTCGCGCAGCACCACCCCTACGAGCGACAATATGTTCTCGTGCCTGAAGCTCGACATGATGTCCACTTCGCGCATAAAGTCCTCCTCGGCTTCGCGGCTCGCGCTGTCCTTGAGCACCTTGATCGCCACGACCTCCTTACTGTCCTCGAGCACGAGTTCACCTGCGTCGTTTCGAATCGAAATGAACGATGGCGCTGTCGGCTTGGGCGGCGCGCGCCCGGCGTACCTTTGAACACTTTGCCGAAGCAGCCCTCGCCGATGTCTCGCAGGAAAGTGAGCGAGTCCCTGAGCAAGATTGGCACTTCCGGCGAGGCGTAGCTGAAGTACTGAGGGTTGGGCGTGTATTTGTTCGCCAGCAGCAGGCTCGTCTTCAAGTTCATCGGCGACGCCTGCCCGCGTGAAACAATAACGCTCAGTCATTGCGCCATCGGAACGCTTTGCTTTGTCGCTTTGATAAGGGCACTGCGCAGCGTAAACATCACAATGGGACGCGCGTACCAAGTGTCATCATTTATTTAATCAATCGTCAGGAATTCAAGCGGCGTGATTGATTCCACAGAGCGAGTTGTTTTCAACGAGAGCGAGGGGATACATATCTGCCGGGAGAGAGCGAGGGAGCTGCCACTTACTTCGAGATCGCGACGTTTGGACTTTGCATCGGCACTGCGACGTTTGCAGTAGTATATCGAACCGATGACCAATGCCAGGACTAGCAGGCAGCCCAGCGCGACGCCAGTCACCTCCGGTATCCTTGGCGCCATGCGCTCTACCTACGGGCATCGTGGGAAAGATTTTTTAGAACTCGTGTCTCTCATTCTCGCATCGCGAGTGCGCTCGGCCGCTCCAACATTTACCATTTTCGCTTGAAATCGCAGCATGTAAAGTTAGACAGGGGTGCAATTATCGTTAGCTGTCAATGAATACGCTAAGAGCGATTTGTCTGGCTTACCTGTGCCGGCTCGGGAAGAATCGTCGTGGTATTCGTCACGTTACTGCTCTGCAGTATGATGTTGGGTATTGGATTCGGCGTTAAAGGAACTGAAAAATCGAAAAAGAAAGAAAGCCGTTTACGCGGATTGTCGTCCACGTCTCAATTTCCAGCTCGGTAGAATCACGGCTCAATAGAATTACCGGTGACGCGCGGACACTTGAGATCGGTGGTGGGCGGGGATTTGTCGTGCGGACAGACGCAGTGCGAAGTCGAGCCTTTCTTCTCGCATGCGGCTTCTGTGCCGCATATGTGTGCCCGACCCAGGCAGTTCAGAATTTCCACGGTCGCAGGTATATCCTCGGTCGCTTGCTCCTGCGACGAGTCGTCCGACGACTGCGCCGGCCTGTTTGTCATTGTGTGCGCTGAAAATGTCAATATCGTTCGTCGACTGCCGCTAAGGTTGCTCTACACTTTGTCTCATTGAGACTGCGACAGCCAGAATGCGAAGATTGCAAAGCAACATTATTTATTTACAAACGAGAAATAGGACGATTGTACGTTTCGTAGGCGTCACCAGCGTACGCGCGTCTCTAATATTAAACTGGCGTATATGATCTATTTCGGTGGTGCAATAATAGGCGCTTAGGAGGAAATTCAGCCATCGGAGGGAGAAAGATGAAGAAGAAGTGGAAGAAGAAGCCGTCAAACAAAGCTCTCAAACAATCTCTTGGCCTTGTTTACAAAGGCTCACTCGGGGGAGCGCGCGCGCGAGAGAGAGAGACAGAGAGAGAGAGAGAGAGGGGATATTTGTAGTAATATGAATTTCAAAAATCCATACGGTTTATTTGGTCCCGATCGCGACGATTGTTATTTTTGTCCACGTGGGCAAACACTCAGCCGCAGCAGCGCTCAGTCAGCCGAAAAGTGCCTGCAGTTAAGTGCAAGCTCCTTCTCGTCTTCGCTTACTTTCAAGCGATGTTTCCGTACGCTTGAAATCGGAGCAACGCACGAGTCTATAAGCGATTTATTTTCTTTCTTTTTATTTCAGTAGCTTTATTCAGTTTTGATATTCGCACTACACCATTTGGAAGGGCTCGATTTCGTTCTCATTTGCTTGGCAAATATCGAACAATAAGTCGATCTTTCTATCGAGCTCGTGCTTTCTTCGATGCGAGGTCAAAGTAGTTTAGAATAGCATTATTGAGCGCAGCCTGCATAATCTCCAATAAACATGTTTTGTGAGTATAGTCGCGTACGTGAAAATATTGAAACGATTAAAAAGATCTAACGACGAGGCAAAGAACGTAGGAGGTGCAAGTGAAGCGGCAAACGAAAGAGCACGCGCTCGCGCTATCTAACTTTTCCATCAGAAGGGCATTAAATTGTCATTGCAATATCGACTGTTGCGCCGAGTAGCACGACCATTACCCTCGTTTCTCCGCTAAAAGGAAATGATTATTGCCAAGGCCACAGAGACAACAGTCCGTCGACGCGCGAGCGCAAAAAGGTAGCTATACAACATCGGCGTCCTCGCGATATCGACGAGCTCGTTCCTTTCGGCGGACCGCGCACTCCGGCGTATTCGCGCGCGCAGGGATGAGAGCGGCTAATCGGCGCGGAGAGCGACGTTGACGATCTCTCGAAAGGTCCGAGAGCGCGATTACCAAATCACGCGCCCGCCGGCTGATAGTTCTCTCCCTCGTCGCTGCACACGCTTCAGGCGCGGCTGCTATCTGAGCCGACGACGGCGAGTAAAGTTCCTTCTATTACGCGCCCGCAGCTGATTACACGCCGCTGGCTGTATCGCCGACGCTGGCCACGCCGCAAACATCGCTAATTAATTTTACTGGACTTTTACGCGCTGGCGCAGATGTATCGCGTCGAGCGTTTTGCTCCTTTGTTTTTTTATCCCCTTTTCGGCGGACAATGGGATGCCGTGCCGTCCACGGCCGATGCTCCTGACGCGCGGCGTTATTGCGTTTTGATTTTCGTTTGCCGCTGCCTGCTGTTTGTATTACGATCAATCACTTTACGACGGCACTCCAAATGAAAAAGCTACGCGTACGAATAGGCATAACTCAATTTTCCAATCACAGAATGGTAATTCGACCAGATTCCGAGAGATCTGCACTGCTCGGACAGTTTCAAGGATTGCGTTTGCAATAATACGGGCATTAAATATCTCTCTCGCGTAAGCGCACAATGTTACGTAGCGAGCGAACGAGCGAACGAGCGAGGGTGGCAATTCTCACACGTGGCGCTCCTGTTGAAGTTGCATTGGGAAATGACTGTTGCGCATTGTATGCAAATGCCGTTATGCAAATGGCTCGCGAGCTCTAGGTAACCTGAACTGCACTGGAGGCAATTGGGCTTGGATTCAACGCGCCTATGTGCACGCGCGCGATCGCTACGACTGTCCGAAAGAATGCACGTCGGTGATTCGGCGCTGCGGGCCGTGGCGTGGCGCGTCAATGGAAGGCCAACAAAAACAGAAAATAAGGCTCTCTGCATCATCTACGCATAATATCGGGCCGACAGAGGAGTCATTCATTTGCGAGGGTCAGCCGTAGTCGGTGCCGGTCAGCGAGCCCCGACAACGGCTTTCGCTGTACATTACTGCCGCTCGAACCTCTCCGCTTTCGTCATTATGATGATGATGATTACGATGATCACGTGCCGGGCCTCGCTATGCAGCTGTTAAACGCCGCTCGCCTTTCGCAGGGCCTCATTATCCGCGATGCTTTCTTATATTTTTGGAGTCGATACCGAAAATGATGGCCAATCAATTTTGAGATGATTGTGGATAACGAATTCACGATGAATGTTCTTCGGCGAGAAACCAGTCGACTTTTGGCTCGAATGCTTGTGTTTGCAATGTTTATCAACTCGTAACTTGCCGCCTCGGCTGAAATTAATGAACACGCGAAGAGAAAGTTATCAAATAATTACCAGTAGCTCGAATAGGACATTTGAGATCGGCTGTCGGCGGTGATTTATCGTGAGGGCAGACGCAGTGCGAGATCGTGCCCTTTATCTCGCAGGCGGCTTCTGTGCCGCATATGTGCACTCGACTAGCACAATCAAAGATCTCGGCCAACGGCTGAGCCATTGTCTGCTGCTCTGTAATCAAAGTTGGCCAGAATTTGAATTTTCCGCGCAATCTCGCACGCAAACTTTCGAAGGAGGAATGCAATTGGAGGGGAAAGCGCCGGTGATTCGGATATCGCTCGCCGAAAGTATTACATGTTTTTCATTGTTATCTGTGTGTGTGTGGTGATGGGGGGGGGGGGGGGGAGTTCTTCGAGTTAAGAAAGTTTGAAAAGTCTATAATCAACTACCTACAACATACGTAATAAATATTTAGATGATTCGTCGAAAAACATTATTCCAGCCGTCCGATCGCTACACGAGACAGCTTAAGTCATCACGAATTTTCTTTTCCTTTAACATTATCGTAATCTCGATCGTTAAAGTCTGACCTTACGATAAGATATCGTTTAGTCAGTTTGAAAACAAACAAGCGCGCTCAAGAAAGATTCATCTGTAAAGTATTATCCGTCGAGCACCAGTGAATATTCGAATATTGGTATGCGCGCGCGCAACAATCGGTGGGCGTATTGTCGACGAGGACGGAAAGAAGCGGGGTGCATCGTCAAATTGGCTAAGCTGGATATGGAAAAGTGATCGACGCAGGGATCCGTTGAAAGGTCGCTATGGCATAAGTCACGGCATTCATTAAGAAATGATTGGAGCTGCCATAGGATAAAGCACCTCTTGAATACACACTGCGGCGGAAGTCCATCAATAAGCGAACTCAGATCGTTTCTTATCGTAATCAGGCTTACATCATAACGTCGATGAATGATTTAGGCGTCGACGCGGAGCGTTGGCTTTTCGTGCGGCACGTAACGGGCGTCAGAGTCGCGCATGCCTACACGTCCGTTATCTAAAGCTCGTAAAGCATTGGCGGAGCGGAATGCGCCTTTTGCTGCTGCTGCTGCTACCGCGCGCGTATGTCGTCTGCGCCTAATTGAGCCTATACCACTGCGCGTACCTGATATACGTATAGGCGGCGCGTCGTTGGCGCGAGGGCTCCGCGTACACGCATGTGGCCTCTATTAATGCGAAATGCGCGCGCTCGCTGCGATATCTTCAGCGTAGACAATGCTAGCCACTGTGTGCCTATCTCGCTCTAGGCTTGCCTTTATAAATCAGCAGATTCGCGAGCGACCGCTAGATCGGATAAGATTGCCGATTCTCTTGGTGTTTTCTTTCTTTCTCCTTCTCTCCCGGCATTAGTCCTTGCCTAGATCATTACGCAAGGATATGTAGACCCGATGGATAAACAGCTTGGCCGTACCGTTTGTTCATCCGCCAACGTGACAGTCTGTTTTCCGACGTTCCGCGTAGATATCCATCGTTCGCCTCTAACGATTTTCTGCTTCTCATCGGTCAACGTTTCTTGCTGACTTTGCGATCCACTTTTTTTTCTTTATCACATCACGTAACGACTAAAATTAGTACGTATCTCTCATTTAACAGAGGTGAATCCTTTCAAGCACTTGAACTTGACTAGATTATCAGCTCTCTGACTATAAATTGCGATCTATTTTTTCTCTATTGCGTGTACGTCGAGGAATCGTTCTCCTCTCTCGTAAAAAGCCTTTTGCTGTGGAAATGTTATTTGTCGCATAATCAGGCAAAGTCAAGGTAACGTTAGTTCTTTCGAGGATCCATCAGACGGTAATCCTGAAATTCTATACGGCATAGACAAGTCGCTGCATGAAGAATCAAATGGACGACGAACGAGCTAGATAGAGGAAAGACAGGCGAGCGATAATAGGCGTGCGATAAATCTAAGCAGACAGAGAGAGAGAGAGAGAGAGAGAGAGATGGGGAGGGAGGAGATTAGGAGCGAGAGCGGATCGCAGTATAATGCTCGGTATTAGGATGTTGCTACTGCATTTTGAACAGTCCGTCTATCGCGGGCATGTAACCGCACGGCGTGATCGCATGGGCGCGTTTCGTTCTGTATACGCGCGCGGCCGAGAGTTTGACGGGTGGGCGAGCGGGCGCATAAGTAGGCTCGCGCTTCCGGAATATCGCATTATCGCGATGCACGCGGCAAGATTTGCTTTGCCGAGCGACGCCTCGTACGCAAAAAGTTGGCGAGCGATCGGCCGCAGAAATTTTCACCAGCCCGTCCCCGCGTGCACGGGCGGAGGGGATATCGCGAATTTCAGTCTAGAAAGCGAAAGGCCGGCTATCGAGCAGCGCGCTAAGATCGTTCGTTTGCGATTCGAGCTCGCTCGCGGAGTATCCAGGCACGACAAATGAACGGCAATAACTCGCGCGCGCGGGAGGTGCAAGAACCGAGACGCACCGCGCCGCGGACTATTCGATACGGACGCTGTTTCTCCTCTCGTTTACCGTTCGATACATTTACCGAATCCATCATCGTTTGCATACAATACCACGGTCTACGTGAATCACTCGCGGTGAAAGTATAGCGCGTGCGCTCCTATGCATCGTTAGAATCACGAAAACGCGCTCGTTCAAATTGGCGATTTAGTTGGTGAATAGTTTGGAAATTGGCGTTATCGGGACTATTAACCGAGTGACGTCTAGCCGATGATGTCGTTGTCCCGCGCGCGAATACGTCGAAGGTACTTTCCGAGTATATTTAGCCGAAAACAAAAACGATTTCTAGTGTCTGCCGTGTAAAAGAAAAGGTGTAATAAATCCAGTTGTAAACCGAGCTAGAGAGTGAGCAAACTGCGTCAGAGTAAATTGGTTTCTCGCGTTCATTTCACGAATAATGGCGTGTTTTTGCGCACGATCATCGTGTAGTATAACGCCAATTTCTCGCCAAATGGAAAACCAGATCGCTCGCGCTTCTAACAGAGAGCTCAGGATCTTTTTTCTTTTTTCGTTTTTCTTTTTTCGTTTTTCTTTTCTCCTGTTTTTACGCTTCGACGTCCTCGTCAATTCTGAAAATGTCCGTTAGTTGGGCGATACGTATTTACTCGCTACCAGAGAGTAATGAGATAAGATAATGTACTGCAAGAGAAAACATCTACTCTATTTGGATTTCCTTGGTTTTCCAGGCAAGAATCTAATCACGTGCGCGCAAGATTAATCTGCATAGTTATGAAAAAAGACACATGACTTTTACAAGCGCGTATTTAAACAAATGGTCGATCCGGCCGTGATTACTGTTTCGCGCGACCAACATACCTTTTACCGCTTGCGCGGAGCGGCCATATGATTAATTATTCGCTGCAGCTTACTCAATAATCCCCAGCCAGAGATTATCTGGTCTTATTCGTCGATCTGATTGTTTAGAGAACGAATTTATCTGTTTGTGCTCGTGTGTATAATGAATACCGAGATGCCAACATACGTTCGCTGTAAACATATATCTTTTCGCGCTTAGATTGCGGGCATAGACTATCGATCTCACTCTCTCGTGTGTGCTTATCCAGCGAAAAAAGGGCTAACGATTTATCGTAGCAGCTGAGGGTAGACAGAAAGAATTACGAAACGCGGCACGGGGAAAAAGCGGCGAAACGATTGGGCCGCGCGAGACAAACGAACGCGAAACAATATATAGTATACGCAAGTTTCATGAGTCAGAGAATAGCGCGACGAGATAGCCTCCGCTATCTTCGTTTTCCGAGAGAAAGCTTCGAGTCTACGCAATCGAAATACATACCTGACGAATGCGTCTCGGTGGAGCTGAGTTCTCGGCGTTTGGGTTGTCGTTGCGCGGATCGCCAGTCCATCTTGCGGAAACGCCGGCGAGGGACGTCGCCCGTCATACGCGGCTCATCGCCTCGATTATGGCAATTCGCTCGGCTGGTCCGTATCTCGTTGGTTCTTGCTCTCGCTCTCATGCACAAGTCACGTCGCCGCGGTGTTGCATTTGCGCGCGAAACAAAATGAAAAAGGAAAAACAGGCCCGCCACTCGCGCGAATTACCACCCTGGCGTTAAATACGGCACAGGCACTTATTGGCACTTGCTCTTGCTGATTTTTATTCACCGCGGGAGATCTCTCACTGTGCTCTCTCTCTCTCTCTCTCTCTGTTTTGGTCCACACGCACACTCGGCGGCCTCTGCTCCGACAGACGTACCAAAGTCAACTCCCTCGCGGCTGCGGCCGTCTTGAGAGAGAGACCGCCTTCTCTCTCTCTCTCTCTCTCTCTCTCGCTCTGAGATCTCCTTCTCTTGGCGTTTGCCCGCCGCCCGGCTTCGGTGTGCAACGCAACGCACATATCTCCCCCGAGGCTCCTTCTCGCTCTCTTTCGCCTTATCGCGCTATCTATCTGCTCCGTGAGGCTTCAGGCCCTTCTTTCATCTTTGGCTCTTTCTCTCCTTGCCCCCCACTCTTCCTTTCTACTCTTTTTCTGATTTCTCAGATTCGTTTATCGGTAGATTGCTCAATCTATGGACTTTCGAATCTCCCGAAAAGTCCAATTGTTTGTTTGTCAACAATCAACATTTCTGCATATTCGAATGCACATACAATTTACGTTTATACTGTTTCCAGTTTTGCATAAATTTAGCGTTACTAGCTTAAAAGTGAGAATTGTTAATTGAGACATCGTTATTGTAAAGGGAATCGAACTGTCAAAGAAAGAGAGAAAAAAGGGCGGAAGCATATCGAATTGCTCCCCCTAACTTTTGTTGATTTTCGCGTGGGTGTTCTCATATTTAAAAGAGTCGTACAAGCTTTCAAATAAAGAGAGAGAGAGAGAGGGAGAGAGATGCGGAAAGCTAGTGGGTGCGTGTGGCTCCTCGAAAAGTTGACGGTTAAACGCCACTCTATCAAGTGCAGAGACGCGTGCTACCCTGCGCTGCTACGATTGTTGCGCTTCTCCTCTTTTCTTCTTCGATTTTTTTGTCCCATCGAAAATCGTTGGCGCGTACGAAGCGAAGATATACCATAGATAAAAAATATGTCAGCGACGTACGTGACGGCATTTTTTTGAGCCGCTTAATTGTGCGATATGATTAGAGCGAATCTTATGCAACGTGTTTTCATTTGGCGGATTTCGTTTTCACGTCTTATGCTGCCTTTTGTTCATGTTGCACTTATTAAATCGGCTGTGTCGACCGACGGCTGGAAAATACTTGAACTGTTACAGTCTGTTAGCAATAAAATTGCTAACAGACTTTAACAGTTCTCAATACAACTCTCTATAAATTATGCCAAGCGTAATAATGAAACGAATGCAAGAACACCAACACTCATTCAAAGAGAGAACGAGAAAGAGCGAGGGAGAGAGTCTGAAAATATTTTTTCTTTTCATTTCGCGATAAAATTTCTTTTTTTATCGAAATACTATACAATTTACTATAGGTTGAGTTTATAAGATGCGCGTTTGAATGGACGAAGTTGTTACGTTTTCAGGAAGCGAAAATGCGTTTATACGTACAAACGCTCATTGTACTTGAAGTTCATTCACGAGAAGTCGCGCGATTCGCAGTTTTTCGTCAAGTAACATCATTTCATTATTTGCAAGTAGCCCGTCAATAAATAATTTAATTACGCAGACTTGGCAGTTTGTTAATAAACAATAGCCAGTTCAGAATCATCGGAAATGAAATATTGATAATTGGCGAGATTGTCTACACGCTTGTCTTTCTTTTGTAAGCGAGATCGATAAAATGAGCAGCCAACGAGAAAAAGAAAACACCAGAAATGCGCACTTACTTTATAAATAGTCGAATCATCAGGTAATAAGAAGCCGATCGTAAGAATTTACAGTTCCGATAGAGTGGCGTGACTTTTGAAACACGGCCAAGGGCTCGGAGTGGACCACGCGCAGCCAAAGCGCTACGTTAAACAAGACGATGGCTAAATGAAAGCAAGAGCTTTCTGGAATTCATAGAAAATGTCAGCGCCGAGAGCGCACTCGAAGAAATGGAAAAGAAATAATGATGATTGGGGCGCGCGCGCGGAGATACGCTGGCGTAAAAGAGAGTGTCAGAGTTCAGCGAATTTATTAAAAGAATACGGAATGCCGTTGAATAATAAGGCTCTCTCTCTCTCTCTCTCTCTCTGCCTATCGCCACTTCGCATTTCATGTGTCGTTGGCTGTCGCCGCGAGCGGCGAACGAAAAACCCACGATAATTTTCTTTTGTTTCCTGCTGCTAATGTTATTAACCGAACTCGTGCGCGCCGCATCTTTCTGTGCCGAGCGTTGAACTTGCGACCAGCGCGCGCGCGCGTCATCCTCGCCGTTATTGCGCTTCGATGCTTAACATATTGTTATCTGCTCGTCTTTTTGCGCTTGCGCGTCTAAGGCCCCTGACAAAAAAAAAATGAAAGAGAGGAAGACACTTGTTCGTTTCAGTACGCCGACAGATTTCGTTAATTAGAAAAAGCTAGCGTTTTTTCACCCCGAGAGCGGCGATCCGAGCAACATTTGGACATAAAGAAAAAAACAAACTTCGGAGCTTCGCTTGTTTTTTAGCGACGAGCCGGAATGAAATCTCGTATCTCAAGAAAAAAAAGTAAGAAAGAAGAAAAGGAAAATTTCATACGATGCATCGCGGAAAGTCGAAAGGGGTCGCGTCTCGTCTACATACGAGTTTATAAATAAGAGAAGTATATCGAAAGGCGTGGAAAACGGAAAGAAAAAGAAAAAACAGAGATTTAAAAGCCTTCGCGCGTCGAATTGCGCAACAACCCTGACAAGGCCGTCAAAAAGTCGAGTAGAGACTCGAGCAAAAAGCGACGGCTCTCTGGAAAGTGGAGAGAGAAAGAGAGAAAAAAAAGTAAAGTCGCGCGCGACGAGTGTTTGTGCAGCGAGACCCCCCCCCCCCCACACACACACACACACACCTGGTGTTCAAGTCCTCCGTATCCACGCACAAGAATAGCTCTAAGAAAACGTTTGCCGATCAAGTGGTTTGGCAAACAGATGATCAACTGTGTAAATTAATATGCAAGCGATTGCTTTTGTTCGATGACTGTGTATGAGCATGCATCATAGATATAGGTATGGACGTGGGGCGAGAGCTTTGTTTGTCTTTGGAGTGGATTTATTTTGGGCTGCACGCGGTTGATGGCCTCGTTTGCCGATTGACTGGTCGCGCGCGCTTTGACCATGGCAGCCGCCGCGCACGAATTTTTTGGTCTTCTCTCGAGAAAAGCTGTCGATGATACGTGTCAAAATTATTTAAAACTCTCTGTCTTCTTTGAAAAAAGCAACATTTGGCAACGAAACAAACGCGTGTTAGCTCTTATTCGACGTCTACTGATTCCGCTTAAAAAGCTTGGGCATTCGTTCCAAGTTGCGACTATTTCAGGTCGAGAGCTGAGAAATTGAACTTTCTGGAACACATCAAAACATTTAGCTTTATGTGCGCATAGCGAGTTTCTTTAATGCACTATAAACCGTCGTACCAACATGACACGATCATCCAAAATTATTCACTTAACGTCAAACATTTCAAAAATGAAAAAAATAACTTGTTGAGCATTGAATGTGAAATTAAGCGAATAGGCATACATGGAAGCACGCAACTGAAAACTGTTATGCTTCTCGCGAGCTTTCGAAGTGGCGCGGCATGGCGCGCGGTAAAATTTATTTTCATGCTCCATTTAAGATTCAAGTGCCATAAACGTACAAGTCGGCAACAGCATCCTTGTAAGCCAAGAAAGTCTCGCAAGCTTATTGCGGCTCGGCAGAGGAGAAAAGGCGCCTTGAAACAAAGTCTCTGCCGCGAACAACTACTGCATACACACGTACATAAGAAGGGGATGTGTTGGAATAATAAAGCAGGAAGCCCCTTGTGGCGTTGCGTGTGCGTGCGTGCATATGTGTGTTTGTAGACGCCGTCCGCTCGCGCGCACATTAAGGCTTCGTGTGTCGGCAAACTGCAGAGGAAAATGACCTCCTCGTGCGTCTATGTGTGCCAGTAGTGGTTGGGAGGAGGAAGCTCGTTAATCCTTGGCCAAACAGATTCTTGCGTACGGAAGGATCTTCTTCGGTTACCGTGGCACGCGGAGAGAGGCAAGGACCTAAACTACAAATTGGGCAAACACGAGCTATATAGCTCTGGAATATGCTATCAAAATCTGAACCCAAGCTTTGTTGACTTGGACAAAACTCGAGGGTCGCGGCGGCCCACAGCGGGAACATTCGGCATTTATTTTTCCTTCTGTTTGACAGCTTTATTATACCGCCCATTCAACATAAATAGGAAAATCGTATATATACGAATTTTCATCGTTAAATATACCCAGCTCGGATTTTTTCATGGAAAATGATTTATCGTTCGACATAATGGTTATTTTATTGAAAAAGTCTGTTCCCGAGTTTTCAAGCGACAATGAAAAAAAACTCTCCTCTATTGTTACATTGGCGTCGCAGATTACGCTTATGCTAATTCAAAATTGAAATATCACGCGGTATTGCCTTCAAGGAATCCACGTCAAGCGGGCAAAGAACAAAAATTCGTCTCTTCTATAAGACAATTGAAATCCAGCAGTGACCGTTACGTCGTGTCTGGTTACGAAACACTCGTTACAAAAATGAGTTGTGGTCATTTTCCGCATGCGAATCGGCGTGCGTACGATTTTCTCCGCTTCTCGTTCATTTCGTTCAAATGCAAATGGACTATTACCATAGTTCGTTCAGAGTACTTAGCGATCCGAGTGCCTCCGGAAAAAGAAACGCAGCGCCTCGAAATTGATAAGGAGAAGGATAAATGGCCGAAAGTAGTAGGCAAAAGCCCATTGGAAAGCCGGTCGCAAAGGCGATTAGGAGAAGCCCGCAGGCACAGAGTGACTTGTCGGCCGAATAATTCTTTTAGCGGCTCTAAACGGCGCTATCTCGAATCGCCGTCGCGGGCGCCTAATCCCAGACAGCGCGGCAGCTTGGCTGCCGCACTCCGAAATACCTACAACGAGATAACACCTGGATTAAGCGCGCTCTTTGTTAAGGCGCATAATGCCGGCGGGTCTGACTAATAGTAGCCAAACGCGCGCCCGAGAAGGACCATTCCTCCTATACTGACGACGCAGTTGAATTTAATTATCTCGACCGACCTCGAAGATTCGCAATCGTCGACGGATCGTCGATGCGCCGTGGAGTGTAACGAACCGACGTCACCGGGGTAGGAAGAGAAAAAGACACCAGCGAAATCTGAAAATACACGAGAAAACTGTTTTCACAGTCGCCCACTTAGCCAGCGGCGCGTTATTTATAAGCCGAATGCTTCGTAGCGCTCGTTGCAAAATTCAAGAGCGCTCCCCTTGGCCTTTTCCGTCAGTTAGAAAAAAAATATACATATATATACATATATATATATCTCTTCCGTGAGGCGTGTATATATCAATCTGCCGCGCAGCGCATTGTTTTACGTGCAATCGATCGCTTAGATCTGCAGCTCGTAAATCTTGGGGCGCGATAAGTTTGCGAGCGGCGAAAGTGCACGCAGTGGCTTCGCCGCGGCATTGTCAGTCGCTCGATTTCAGATAGTCGCGCGCGCGCGCGGAAATGTGTTGAAAGTGAGAGAGATGGCTGTCGACTTGTGCTGGAAATCGAAGCAACCAGGACTCAAGCTGTTGCGGTACAGCTTGAGTAAGCGGCGCCGAGAGTTCGTGCGCGAGAATTCTCTGCACGTCGTACCCTACTTCGTCGACCCGACGAGGTCGATTTACCAAAGGTTGCGCTACGAAACCTGCGTGCGTGAGCGTTGACTTTGCGCGCCCGTTACACGGGATGACTATTCGTTGGATAAAATATCGCAGTTTATGGTCAATCGTCCGCCGTTTCAAAGCTTTAAAAACACGATTTTACGAGCTTTTCAAGCGCTTATTAGACACTCCTGACACTCTTGACTCGGGGCCGCGTATTCGCGCGGTTATTAGATGCGTGAAAGCGCACCGGAGGAAAATATATTTTACTTATTAGCAATTCAGGGATTAACGGCAGATCGAGAGGCAAATTACAAAGAATTTTAGCGTCAATTATAGTTAGTCCCATGAAACACTATTTATACACTATACGCGCGCTCGCGAGCTATCGCTATCTGGAAAATAACTGAACTTTCATTAGCGGACGCTGATATGGCAATTATGTTATATCTGAGGCAGAAAGACATTTTGTTTACGAACTGCTGAGGTACCCGACAGTGATCAGCTTTCATTTTTTTTTCGTCTATAGTGCCGTTCGAGCGTTTGCCATCGGCATATACTTTTATCGTATTGTTATTTTCGACACAATAGCGTTGAGTAACAAAATGAAGCTGATAAAGACACAGAAGCGAAGATTCAATTTGCGTTTACACTGTACACTTTATTTTATACGTATTTTCTTATCGACAATCATCATGAGCTATAAATTAATTTTTTTCTATATGAGATTAATTTATCGTAAATACATGAATATAATTTGAACTGAAATTATAATTACTGTATTCTGGATAACTTGGAAATGTATTTTATTGGAACCGAAGATGAATAATGATGTAACTGCCGAGTACATGAAATTGTCTTGATTTTCCAGAGTCATGTGGTTTTTAATCTTCATTGCGTCCGCAATCGCAGCTGTCGCAACCATCGTGATTATCTGGCAGAAATTTCAAACATCGCCAACATTAACCTACTTGAATATCGAGCGAGAAAACGTTTCTGTGGACTTTCCCAATGTATATTTGTGTTTTGACAAAAATCATTTGGATTTCTCTAAGTCGCAATTAAGAGCGGTAAAGTTCTCGAAAAATAAAAAACACGATTACGAATTATTATGATATTTGTATATTTCTAGACGCAAATCACCGGTATCGAGTTATTGTACGAGCGCTCAGAACTATTTCAATTGATGAGTAATGAAGACTTAGACGGACTTTCTTTTTCGCAAATTTTGTATGAGTCGACACCAGAATGTCAAGATCTCCTATTCAACTGCGAGTTTAGGTTAGCTTTTACTCTCAGAACTATTAAGTCATGCAGTATAAATATTCAACTTTATTAAATGAAATGACTGTTAATAGAAAACAGTCGTACGACTGTGAAACTCTGTTCCCGCGAAAAATTGCGACTGCCGATGGTATATGCTGTGAATTTAAGAGTCGGCGAATCGATAAAGATGACCCCGCGTGGAGTTTGCAGTTTCAAATATCCGAATATCCAATAAAGTAAGTGTATCGCGATAGTAATCTCGTTTGAAAATCTATAGGCTAAACTTTGAAATGGAAGTATCAAATAAAATAAGTCGTGCATAATAATGCGCACGACAGTTATACGAAAATTTAATTGATCCGCAGCGTACACCTGACTGGAAAATCTGAAGGGCCACCGCTGTTAGGTCAAGAGCCAACTCATAGATTGCTCGCACCTGCGTCCATCGGGCTAAGTTTGACCATCACGTCAACAGCCAATAGCGTACGTTTCCTCACTCGAAGTCAGCGCAAATGCGTGTATCCAGAGGAAAGCCTTTCGCACGCCGATTGCGAAAGGACGCTTCATAAGAATGTCATGTTAGCCAAGTGCAGCTGCCTTCCATGGTTTTACGCTGACAGTCAGATGGATGAATGCTATTTTTGGCAATATCAGTGCCTCTCTACCATACCAGAACAAAAGGTAATTGAGCAAAAAAAATTTACGTAAAGTCAATAACGTCCGCGAAAGTTGTGGCATAATGAGCTGACCGACCGATAAACCAGTTTGTCGAATCGAGTTCACAGATTCGATGTCAGCTCGACTAATCATCAATAAAGCGTCTCGCGCGTTTTCGCCGCAAAAACCTCAAACGAAAAAAAAAAAAATATTTCCGTTCCACAGCTGACGAGCGGCAAGTGCTACATGTCGTGCGAACACACGGCCTACAACGTGGAGAAGATCGAGCGCAACATCGACGCACATAACAGTAACAACGCCAGCACCGAGATAAAGTTTCTCTCGTGGCCGGAGGTGCGTTTTCGCCGTAAAACGCGCTTCGGCTGGCTGGATCTCGTTGTCTCATTCGGCGGAGTGGCTGGATTTTTTATCGGCTACTCCATCATCACCAGCTTCGAGATACTTTATTACTTCAGTTTGCGCACCTACTGTGGCGCTGTGCTTAGCATGCCTAAGACTAAGTTTAATGTACCGGTTGAACCAGCGCATCCTTGTAATAATGCCTGCTAACGAAGGACTCCATTATACTTTACCAAGATTATCTGTCCCTTGATGTTCACTTTCACTGTAGCTATGCTATTTGTCAGTTGTAACCAATTTTTCACCAATATTTATCGTAATTACCACAACAAAGTAATTTAGAACTAGTTAATCTTTCACTCATCTGCTAATACAACGTCGAAGCAAAAGGAATATTTCAAGATTGCGTAAAAATATGTAAGTTTTTATTAGAATTTCAGTCTGTTTCCAGCATTGTTGCATTGATGCATGTTTTCTCTTTCAATTTTTGAGTCATTTTCGACATTAGGATTAATTGAAAACTATGCATTTCTCAGTATAAAAATACTAAAAATGTGACGCACTATATGTATACAAACAATAATTAACATATTACTTCAATGTATTTATTCAGAGAAATGATCATCTGTAAGTCATCATTAAGAAATTATGAAAAAAAAAATTCAACGATATTAGGGCAAATTAAAAATTACTCCAATTATAAAATAAATGTATATATTTCAGATTTTTCAAATCCTTTGTTTCACTTCTTATGCTTAGTTTTACATATTCGAGATGTTCACCCGAAACTGCAGTAAATTACAATCGCAATTTTTGTTTGTTTCTTCATCATTTTTACGAAATAAAGTGATTTTGGAAAATTTTGTTTACTGTAATGATAATTTTCTTAAAACTCAAATATACAATTTCGATGATGTTCAATGCTCAACAAATGCATTTATTCTTTGTATCAACGCAAAAAATTATTTTACTAACTTTCATCGTTTCATCATATAATTTCCAAAACTAGATTTCATAGATCATCTATAACTTGATAAACTCAAATAACTATTACAACAAGTATTATATTTTTTATGTAACCTCAAATTTACGTCATCTTATAATTAAAATGTTTAAATATTTGATATTATTGAACTTACGTCCAACTATACTACAATTGTGTAAATTCAAGCCAAATCAATTCAATATTATAGTTCTGCATCAAGAAAATATCTTGAATTTATTCGATCGCATAATGCAATGTTTCATGGTCCCTCTAAAACTGATGAATTCAAATAAACATGCTGTTAACATTGCTTATTAGGATAGTTTTTAATAATTTTCTACTCTCAATTTACCATATTTTTATTTATAATAATTCAAGCGAGCAGCATTAAAGGAATTCTTTTATTTTTTAAAAGATTGATACATTTCTTTAATGTGAAAAGGAGAACGTTAACGGATGGTATTATTAGATGATAGAACACAAAATCTTATGTAAATAATATGAATCCTAATAGTATAAAATAATTATTTTAAGTATTGGTAAATGATGAAATACAAATTTAAGATTGAAGTATAGGAGATAAGTTTCCGATGAATAATATATTTTTCAAGATAATTTTGATGGCTTCAAACTTAATATAATTTTTATGTGAAACAATAACAAATAAAAATCACAAGATTTACATTAATATAATTTTCGTAAAGTTTTAATTTTTAGGCACCAGTTGCAGTTCTCCTTTATTTAAATATCATTAAAAATACTTTTTAACTAATGTATGTTTTTGATAAGTTTAATAAAATCTTATATTGATTATTTTGATAGTATGATTTGATTGCTTATATACATATGCGATCTGTTATTGTAGCATCAAACTTCGGTGTGTTAAATCGGTTCAAATGTGTTTTCAGTTTACCCATGATTTATAAATGAGTATTCAGTACTTTAATAATTAAAAATTATTCCATCAGTTATAGCTTACAAATGATAGAAAATTCATATAATTACATTCTAAATATCAATTGTATCAAAACCTTTTTCACGATTTTAATTCATACAATAATTTATTTATTAATTAGTTCAAAACAATTTGATATATTTGAATAGGTGATAAGTCATTGTTTTACCGAAATTCAATTTGATAATGTATAAATATTCTAAAAGTTAAGCGGTAATAATGACAGTAAAGATCTATTTGCAGTGGAAAAGAATCATAATATGTGTTAATAATCTCGTAATTCATGAATATTTTACATCTAATTGTATAATTATAACCGCGTGGAATGTTTATTTGTTGAATGAATTTATACTTCACTCGAATTCATATATTCAGCCCCTATTGATAAAATTAGCGCATAAATCGTTTGTATTTACAATAGTACGATTTGTTAAAGTTTACATTTTTACATTTACGTCCAAAGTGCATATAAAGTTCAGTTTTTGTTATTTTTGCACATATTATACGAAGACGCACATATGTATTTATCTTATTTTCGTATTTTTCTTGTATTTTATTAATTTTTTTTCTTCGTGTTTAAAATTACACTTTATAGTAATGAAAGCTTTGTTTTACGAGCTAAAATGATGCCAGTAAAGTTATAAGCAGTTATCAAGTCATTTGTCGTTGTCAATATCGTTATTATGCCGACAATATCAAAACGAAGTAGGCAAAGCCAAGAGTCTAGCCATATAAATTTCATAAGTTGATTTTTTTACTGTGAAGCGTTCTCAAATTGTTTATGTAATCAAATTATGCTGTTCATGGCAGAAAGAACTTTTATAAAACCTGCGTGGACTGTTGTAGAAAAAGTTGTAAAGTCTTGACTAAATGTTTAAACTATCAATGATACATACATTTTTGTCAGTAATATGGGATTTCGTTTTGCAGGCGAAGTATATTTATCAACAAGAAATTATGAAAGTGTAAAATTTCAATGCTTGATATTCTTTCGAGTTAATTAAAACTGCGTGGACCTTATCTTTATTCTGTATAGTTTCAAAGACAGCGGATTTATAGTTGTACGGTTCAATATACCTACAGTCACGAATGTTTATCATGTCTGTATCGAAATCGCATGATTTGTTCAGATTTCAAGATATTTTTTTTACTAAATTCAAAAAGTATAATTTAGAAATACTGGCTAAATCATGTATAATATTAGCAATATCTTTTATATTTATATAAATTCATTATAAGCGTCTTTATTGTGCCCTAAGTTTTAATTTATTGTGTAGCTTTCGTTATTATTTTAATTCTATTTCATTATTACCAATCTGAGTTTCAGACTCTTATATCCTTATTTATTTAATTTTCACTGATTTATTTTAGTCAAATTACTTTTGCTTACAATAATTTATTTAATTGATATCAAGACGTACCGTCATCGAGTTATAATAATTCTTTTTTCGTAATTGTATGTGGTGTTAGCGTCTAATTCCTCCCGGCCTTTCTTAAGCAATTATAGTAACTTAATGTTTTATTTTTTTAATTTTTGTTTTGCCAAGCTGTCATTAATGCCACTTTTTATTCGATAATAGTTGAGGCTTTTGCGATAAGTCATTTGTAAAACAATGTGGTTTCATTACTTGCAAAGTTTTCAAAGCCGGAGATACATATGAGCTCTGATACTATGCTTGTGTCCGACGGGCTTGACAGAACTTGATTTTATTGAAAAAGCAGAATGCACTGATCGTTAGCGATTATCACTAAAGATTTTTACAAATATTCTTTGAGATTCACAACTACTGACTCATTTGTTTCGATTAAGAAGAGCTAGAAATGTATACAAAGCCTCGTCAAACCCACGAACAAGAGTGATTTATCGTATATATTTAGTTGTAATTATTATTAGTCGTAATGTTAATTTATACAGTAACTGCGATTCTGAAAATGACGCTGAATCGAAAAACAGAACATTATAATGCAGCAGTTCGATAGATTTGTAGGTACAATCGTTATCTACATTGTGCAAAATCGCTCCTCGCAAGGAAGACTGACCGGAAGGAAGGTGTCGTCGAACGCGAGTCGATGTTCCTAGCTTACTTATTTTCTTTTCAGTTAAGTATTTATATATACATGCTAAAATTACGGCGTTTAATTCTTGAAATGTGCTGCGCATTAAGTAGTCTACAGTCTATGTTTTGGTTTTTCTTAAATCTTTTCCAGCCCTAATAAGTACTCATCTTCGCCTGTTATGCCATTGCACTGCCTTTGACGAACATTTACAAATAATATATGTGTAAAGAAAATCTTTTGCTTAGCTATTCAATATCAGGAAAATATAATTAACTACGCCCTGCCAGAGGGTCGTTCGTATAGTACAGATAAATAACAACTGTTGGAGCTGAAAACACAAGTTCTTTGAAGCTGTTACGCGGCTAACTCGGACGAGAGCATTGTGTGTCAAAGCTTCCGCGGTCCGATTTGTCAATCAGGTAACCAGATGAAGCATATGGAAAACAGTGCTTTGAAAGTGAACTCGTTGAAAGAGCAATGCGTATCGAGCGAGCACAAAGAAACGACTCGCTCGTACGTACAGATGATACCTTGTGGTCCGCATCACAGCTGAAAAACAAACGCAGCTATCGTCTTCACTGGAAAAGAGTCCCGAGACATATCGAGCAAGAAGTAAACTCGAGCCTAGGCTCAACAAGCAATTGCCGCTCATCCCCGAGACGACTTTGATTTTCGACGTTGGCTTTCGTCGCCGATAGAGGTGACTTGTCGAGTTTAGGCTACGAGACGCCGCTTGGGCCTTGGCGCAGCTTGAGGTAGGGCTAGGAGCGATGATCGCTCGGCTGAGCACGGTGATGATCGACCGCGTGAATGCTCAGGTCGTGGCTGCTCGTCGCTGGACTCATGCTCGGCGTGACGATTATCTGGGTACGCGTCGCGCCGCTGCCCAGCAGTGCCGTGTTTTCACACGAGGTCTCCTCTTCCTCTTCCTCGTACTCGGCTTCAGCTTCGTCCTCGACCTCGTAGTCTGCCATTTGCGTCACCTCGTCCTCGTCCTCCTCTTCCTCCTCCTCCTCCTCCTCCTCTTCCTCCTCTTCTTCCTCGTCCTCTGTGTCGACCAGCGTGTATACGCTTTCGTGCTCCTCCAACCGATCTAAAAAACAATTTTTCGTTACCTTCCACTACTTTTATCTTTGTTGCCATTTTATTAATATTTTCATCCGCGCTTTCGCTTTCATTCATTTTCACGTTATCATCTTCACTAAACTATCTGCTTTGTCGTGCTAATGCGTGCGCGAATTAGACTACTGGATCAATGTAAAAGTATCATGAGAAAGCCAAGTTTTACGAGCTACTCACTAATTGCAAGCTACCTTCAAATTATAAAATCGAATGTGTTTTCAGTAAAAGGAAATATCGAAAGGACAGTGGAACAATGCTAGTAAACTCTAATGGATGCCGAAAACGTACTTGTGCGAATGCTTTGCAGAGTAACTTGTTGAAGCAAATTTTTAACGAGAGATCGAGTTGCGCGCTAAATGAAATTTTATTAGTTTCAGTTTCCACGCGCTAGCTGGCGTTCACTTGAAAACTTCTTAAACTTGAATTCTCACACAGAAGTTGCTTCGACTGTCGCTACGTTAGCTGGCGTCAATTATTACGTACGCTGTTTGATATATATATGCCGAAGCCATAGCGGGAGTGTGCGGTGATAATTCGTTGGAACGAACAGTCTTGAGATAGTCGTTAACACGTCAAGAACTAAATAACGCATTTGCGAGGCACGTGACTTATCTTTTATAGGTTGTAATGGATATGGGCTAGGGGAAAAACTTTTGGTGGTGGTGGTGGTGCCGCTGCTGCCGAGGCCGCCGTCGCCGCCACCCAAGTTTTATAGTACTCCGAAAACAAGCGACATACCGAAGAAAGAAGGTTTGAATGAAGGAGTAAGGAAGAAGGAAAATGCGCTGAGCCGGCAGACAAGCTGAAAAGAAGCTGGGGCGTAAAAATGAAAAGATAGATGAAAATACGCTCTACGCATAGCTGAAGAAAGCCGAGCGTGTCACTTTAGTTAAACAAGAAATAACGGAAGACGAAGTCAAGGCTAGTGTGTATAAATTATGATGAAGCTTTGAAAAAAATTCGTCCGAGAGTGGATATTCTCTAGTTTTATCTTAATTGTCAAATAAAATTATGAGATAGTATAGTTTTGTCAACTGTTATATTCTACAATTGACGTCTGTAAAGTGCTCCGTTGAAATGTCAATGTCTTCATCATAATTTACCTTGTTGATCGGTAAGTAGAATAAGAAATCGATACAATAACTTGTAGTCTTACGTTGATGCAACGAAGCAAACGAACTCTAGATATCATATTTGATTTACAGAAATAAAGCTAGGAGGGATGGGAAGGGTCACTGATCAATAGTGCAGACAAAAGTACAGAAAGAGAGAGAGAGAGAGAGAGAGAGAGAGAGAGAGAGAGAGAGAGAGAGAGAGAGAGAGAGAGAGAGAGAGAGAGAGAGAGAGAGAGAGAGAGAGAGAGAGGAAGAAAAGAAATAGAAGAAGAGATGTGCAGCTGGCGGCGAAAATCTATGAAAAAAGGAGGATATATATGCGCTACGAGCGTGCACAGGCAGTGGCAGTCCGTCATCTACGTATAATATAATGATGCCGCAGAAAAGCTATGTATAGGTAAACTAAAGGTTGCATCTGCCACGGTTTTTTTTCTCTTTCTCTTTAGCGGTGGAACTTACTGTGTAATGTTTTTTTCGCTATAACGACGTGGTAGACGAGCGAGTAGTGTTCGGCGATGCTGTAAAACGCACACACATAGGTACATCTCTCACGTGTCGCAGGTAGCCCTTTACTTTACTTACGCACACAAACACAAACATTGGCTCATCTCTCTCTCTCTCTCTCGCTTTCGCTCTTTCTCTCTCTGTTCTCGCGATGGTGGCGTTTGTGCGTGTGCGTTTCTGTTTGGTTGCGTACGTGTACTTAACAATTATCAAGTCCGCCTCTCTGCGTATTTATGTATAAAAATGACGAGTGGTGTAGTGCTGCGTCTATTATAGGTATTTTTGCGGAGCCGTGTCGAGCGAATTTCAGCAAAGAGCTGGTATAGTTGGTTTGATTAAGCTTTATATGTCGACTAATAACTCGCGCAGCTTCTATTTTTCAAGTACAAGCTCGTGTTAACGTGTGATTCGTACAGGTACAATTGGTTTTGTTCGTTCATTTGATAATCATGTAGTTGAAATTGATATTGCCGAGTGTCACATATAAAACACACTTGCAGGATCCACTAAAAATCGTGTGCAATAATAGACACCGACGAGAAAGACAGATATATAATGATGGTAAAGATAAGCACGTTAGAGGACGACTGTTGTCGCTCGTCGGACTTACCGGAGGATTCCTTGGAACTCTGTGGCACTTTGCCGACGACGGTGAGGCTGACACTCGCCGAGGCGCCCGACAAGCAGTCGTCACCGGGCAATTCCACCGAGATAGAGTCGGCAGCGCCGCAAAGCGGAGGCACCAGTATCACCACGTCGCCTTGTGGCGAGCTAAGCGTTGGCGGAGCCGACGAAGCCGTTGGCAACGTTGGCACTCGCGGTGGCAACCTCGACATGTCGCCCGGCAACACCAGGTTCGACGGGATGGAACTACCGGAAATGCAAATCATTAATTTTCCATATGCGCACAACTACGCTCCGACGCTTATCAACGCTATCGTTAATGGCAGACATATTATGCTCGCGCGTGAGGCGAATCGTTCTTTTAAAAGACATTTAGGTAGCAGTGCCAAAAGTTTTATCTGATTCCCGTTTGCTCCAATAAGAAAAGATGCAAATCTCTGCTGTGAAAAGCGACTCTCCAGTTTTAATGCATCTATAATAGCTAGATCAAAAACGTAACTTGTTTCAATTTGCGATTTTATTTTTTAATGTCTTAGACGGGTGGGTAAAGAGAAACGCCACAGCATCCCTTTTCTTAGCATCATCAATAAGCAGTTGTTTTTTAGGAAGAGCTGAGCTTGAAACATTTTTTATTTCACCTTTAGATGCCCAGAGACCGTGTTTGAAAATGTAAAGTGCCACCAGGTGGAAAAAGTGCAGATGTCTTTTTGACCTAGCTTTACGTGCTCTGATGTTTCAAGAAAAGGCACCTGTTTTCGTAGCCCTTGTGTACCTTTGGTTCCAATAAAGAAAATATATCTAATAAACATCCTGGTTTATATTTTTGCAAACTCGATAAGTTAAGACGAGCATGTTTTTTATATGATTTTTTCATGGGAAAATAAGGCATTGAGGTATCCAAAGACAGGTAATCTCGAGGCACGTGCCTTGCAGTACACGTTGCCGTAGCAATCATCAAAAATACGCGTGGTCACTGTATTCATCTTCGAACGGCTGTTTGCGTTTTATTAGACTACTATCCGTTGGACATGATTTTTCAATTGGAACCGAAGGAGCGAGCGATTTCCAGGACACAGAGTGAAGAAAACGAGGGCATTGGTACCTCAGAGTGACGCGCTTCTTGACGCGAGTGCCGAGGTCGGAATGTCCACGGTGTATCTGGCGCGGTTTGGCGTGCGAATGGTAGCGCGTGTGATGGCTCTGCGCTCTCTCGGACTCGCGGAAGTTGTTGATGGTGGGCGAGCTCGGCTCCGACAGCTGCTTGTCCACGAGGATGGGTTTGAGCACGAAGCTGCCGCCCACGCCCGCGGACAGCGGCGCGTCGGGGGCGGCGGCCACGCTCTCGCCGCAGGCAGATCCACCGGCGGCATCGGCGTTGCCACTGCTAGCAACGCTGCCGCTGCCGCTGCCGCCGCCGCCGCCACCACGGCCGCCACCGCCGCCACCGCCGCCAATGCCCCGAGCGCTGTAGTCCGCCGGCTCGGGCATCGGTAGCGCCAGCAGGCGCTTGCGGTCCTCCATGTACAGCTCGATAAGCTGGTCGAGTTTCATCTCGATGTCATCGACCTGGCGAATCATCGGTTCCGTTCAGCTTTCCGATTTTCCCCAGCGAACTCGCCGTCAAACGTTCTTTGCTCTTGCTTCGCTTTTGCTTGCATATAAAAGAAGATATCGTACGCTCGGCTTCTTACCTGCCTTTCGACCTTAACCACTCTCGATGCTAAACTAATTTTTGAAGCGTAAACGTCCCTCGCTTTCGAACCTTGCTTACCTAATATTTGGTCTAACCTGTGTGATAACATAAACAGAATGTATTATTATCCAGTCGAGGCCGATTCGTCAACTATGAAATATTGAACAACCACGGGCACAGCAGGCAAAGCCACTCGCAAGCCTCTAGACGAGTGCAACATGCAGACTGCACTAACGCAACGTGACGTTCAATTATAATAATGTACGTGGATATATGCTGGAGAAAGCATCATTGATTGAAATTTCTTCAAAGTCATGCTAACGTCTAGTTACAAATACAATTTACCGCAAACCGCACGCTCTGTGCAACATCACTATCAATGGACCTTTAAGTATACAGTTATACACTGGACAAGGTAATGGATTGTACGAAGTCAAGGTCATTTGGCATTTCAACGAACGAACAGATTGTTAAAGGTCTATAAAGTTCGGTTTGCCGTAAGTATATACGTTGGTTTCTTTTTCAAATGGACACGCTCCTATGATAAAGAAAAGCAAACTAATAACGGAGTAGAGTGGCACACACAGGGTGATTGTGACATGAGAGAATGAAATAATAGATTACAAATAGGCGAATCGTGACCAGTGAGTGAGGTTTTTTGACGATTCACACGGCACATACACACACACATTTACGCGAGCCTTCTTTCGTGAAGGTGATCGCCATTGGTGACAGTTGCATTAAAACATATTTGTCGTCGTCATTGCCATGGGAGGTTAGCAATATAAAGCAGCTCAGGCCAAAAATAGGGAGGGATGTCAATCGAATAAACGTTCTCAACTAAATTTCTGCAAATACTGCTGCAAGAAAGCACAAAATACCACGGCGTGATAATTGGCATAGAAGCTTCAAACAGTAAAATGTCATTCCGTGAGCTCTGAGACATTTCGGAAATCTACGCAATTACCGTACCTACCAGCAATGTGCTCCTCGTCATTTTAACGTAATCGCCGACCACGCGCGCACACTTTGCTCACAGAGAATGCATAATCAAAGATTGTTAAATCGCAGAAATTCATTCTGCTCGTTTCACGTACAAAGCTGACGTGACGTAAAGAGAGGTTTGCGGTCGAGTCGGCGAAATTATTGAAAAAAAAAATCAATCTATTGCTTGGCGATACTTGTACAATCCAAAAATAGTAGATACTTTGCATGTTATCGATTTGCCAATTGTGTATTTTTAGCACATTTTACTGTTCGAGCTAGTCTATGTGGTTGGAAGCAAATAATTAAATATATATATAAATATATGTATATAGAGAATCATATAATAATATATATATATGAAACCAAAAGGAAATATACAGTAGTGGCGGTCAAAACGAAGGGCTCGACGTCTTAGGTCGAGACATTTGTTTTTTTCTTTATAAATGGCAAGATAGCACGACTGCACCATTAAGGCAATAATACCTGAAGTGCAGATTTCGTACGCGATTCAGTAGATCGGCGTGGCCGGAGCTGTATTGTTCAATCACGTCCTTGACGTCGTAAGGTTTCAGGGCTTCCCTGAACTTCTTGCGGGCCACGAAGTATTTCAGCTGCGATCACGCCCCGCGGTTTACAGACACATTATCAATAGTTTTTTACGCTTTTCTTTTTTTTTTTTTTTTTTTTCATTCTGTTTTTATTTTTATTTTTTTGCGTTCTGTATTATGTTTTTCTTTCATGTTCTATGGCTATATGTAAGATTCTTTCTTTACTCAAAATACGGGCTAATGCTTCCTTTTCTACTGGCTACTTTTTCAACGTATTAGACGTCTCTTTTTAGTTGGAGAGAACCAGACTGACTTACGGATTTCACGCTCAATCGGTGAAGAATCGCGCGTGCAACCAGCAAAATCGTGGAGCAATGGCCTCGTATTGACAGTATAAAAGGCTACATATCTGTTGCACAAAGTAAATCTGTTGTGATAACGTCGAATAGAGGGTGGATAGGTAGAGTGGGGGACGGGGTAGTGAAGAAGCTTATTCCATGAAATTTCAAAACGACGTCGAATTTGCTCGAGCGGCAAACGAACATCTGCGTTTAATTTCGGATTAACGTTAGCTCGCTTTTATATAGAGTAGAAAACTTATACGACTTTTAGTTGCCGGTTTGCCCCGCGCACTCGACTCTCTCAGTATTTTCTGCCACTTTTTTGTGTCCTCCCTTTGCTAGCCTCGCAGTTCATCCTCTCTACGAGAAGCCAGAGCGAATTTAGTGTCCTGACGCAGTGGCGCGAATCAGCACGTCGTCTTAGAGCTCCCAAGTTTTTTTTTTTTTGCCCGTAGTTTTGCGGCCCGAAAGTGGCTTGCACTTCGGACGAAAGTGCTACCTTTTATGAGCAGTGCTGCTTGTTATTATTTATTATTTGTTTTTTACGGTCAGACTCGGGTCGAAGTAGGAAAGAAAAATAAACGAATGCCGCGTATTGTACACGAGCAATTTAACTTGAGAGAAATTCCAGTCTCACTTATAGCTAGCGTTTTCCGCGCTGTTCCCTCGCGAGCGTGTAATCGTGTTTGTCAAGGGTCAAACGTATATGTTGCATAAACAAGCGAGTGTAAGTTTAACGAAAAAAGTTAAAAAGTTGGCTTTCGCCGGGGCCTTTTCTAAAATATCGTACCACCTGTAGAACGCGAAAAGGGGAGGGACGGCGGGTAAGTCGTACACGAGAATCCGATGCGGCATACGCAGCGAGCGGCTGGGTGCCAGATCAGCGCGACGGGAATTCGCGTTGGTGGATGCGCGCGGGCGGTAGTTTATCGGAGAGAGACTCGCAAATCGTGGATACACACATGTATTAATGCGCTGGTATATCGTTCAACATAGTTAATCACACAATGGCATGGTTGATTATAAAAGCAGCTTCCACATTAACACGAACACAATTGCACACACGTCACACTGTCACAGATTTGCAGAGAAAGAAAGGTGTGTGTGTGTGTGTGTGTGTGGGTATTACGAAAGAGGGGGAGGGGGAGAGCTTGGAAATGGTGAAGAGGAAAGTTTCGATAACTCCCGGAGAAGCAAACGGTGATCGCGCGGACGCATTATTTGTCGCGCACGCGCGAAACAACGGTCTGTTTGAAGTGACGCGATATCTCGTCGTAAAAATTGAATTCGATCCTCGAAGCGGTGTTTTTTACATCGACGGACGGCAAAGTGAAATCCATAAAAGCGAGGTACAGGGGTTGGCATGGATTTATATAAGGCTTTTAATTGAATAGCAAATGAAGCGACGCATCCTTGAGAGGGCGCTTTTAGTGCTTCGAGGCGGCCCGGAATGACAATCAATCGACGAATGCAAAAGCTAGGCAAGGAGGGGCAGTCGAGGAGAAATTATACATGCACGGGAGTACGCGTGTGCCGAAGATAAAAACCGGACGTAAACCAGCGAAGAAGGCAGAGGATCGATCGAAGCGTCAAAGGGGGAAGTGAGAAGCTACGGGGAGGGGCCGGCAGCGGCCTTATGAAATAACTGACGCGTTAACCGACGTCATTAATTTGAGCTCTCGCGCAATCGATATAATCAACACCAAGTGCTTCATTAATTGATTCGTATCTCGCGCTCGATATAGAATTCGTGCTGGTGACAAGCTACGCGCGTCCTCGTCGTCGCGATGACGCATATCTTTGTTTTATTTGCACGCCGAGGCAGACTTAACGACAACCGCTCTATTCCACGACAGATGTTTCGACGAATGGCTTTTTTTATGCGATTGCTGTCGAATAACGTCGCAGTGGACTTTAGCGCGGAAAACGGAAAGAACAGGCCGAGTGAGATGCGCGAGGGGTCGAGGAATAAGAAAAATTGACGAGTCGGGCCATATCCGCGGGGAGAGGGACCGTAGAGAGTGAAAGTGATAAATGAAGAGGAAAGCAAAGGCTGGAAGATAGGAACTGTATACGTATGCTATGATGAAAGGTGTACAAGTGGGCTGGAAAAGTTGGTATACATAATGTGAGAGAGAAAGAGAGAAGTTGTGCGAGACGCGACAAGAATAAGTGCACCACAGCTACAGCGAAGACCGATGTTGCCCTTATTCTTCCGCGCTCAGCTTAGGAATAAACGTTGTTGCACAATAAATGCAGGTGATAAATAAATGCTCCTCGCAAGCGAAGGTTGTCCGTGTCTCCTTCAAGGCGCTCGTCACTATCGCTCTTCGATCTCGATGGGCGCGCAATGCCGAGAATTTCAGCGCTAATATCGATCCTCCAGCCAAGAATATATTAGTGGAGAATTCAATTTACGAGCACTTTGAAGAGTGACTGAGCCTTAGACAAAGGGCATATATTTACACCGCAAGTTTTGCACTCAAGAGAGACAGACGACGCCAACACAAGGGCTCGGAGAAAGAAATCAAATAGTCGAAGGAGAGACGCCTGAGAATATTACGGCGACTATTTCGGCGCGAAACTTAGCCTTTGCTCGGCGTAAACGTTGCGCACGGCGAACACTTTCAGACCTACTACTTTTCAATTTGCTCCTCTTACTCTTCTTCGCACAGCTCGCACTTCGTCCAGCAAACTTGCTCTTGCGCTTGATCAACAACCCAATTCAAATCTCGGATATTACTTTGTACACGAAACTTTTGCGTTGCGTTTCGTTTTACGACCCAGCGTCGTTTTTAACCTGCGCACTCTCAGCATCTACGAGTAATACGCTAAAAAGAACTTCTACACTCGCAACTTCATTTTTTTTATGTACAACTTTATTTACAAAACAGTTCGACTCGCCAAAGAGGTACTGCATGATTGCCCGCTTGAAATGTCACACTACAAAACGAACTATATATGTAGCGGGGGGGGGGGGGATGATGTAGAGCATCCGCAATATAACGTCTTCGCATGGATAAAAAGAAGAAATCTACGTCCTATGTGTAGGATATGTACACGAGGAATGTCACCTATGTACACGTCTCATTCTATGGATAATCAAGACATTCGTGCGTCTGCGAGAGAGAATAGGGTCATGCGAGGGAGAAAAATCGAGCTGCGCCAAAAGGAAAATTTTCGGAGCCGAGTACGAAAATGGAGAGTGGAGGTTGAAGGTATGGAGTTTGTTCAGTTTGCGCGCTGTCGATCTTGTTTGGAGCCGGGAACGTGCCGGCGCAATAATTCTCAGTGTCTCTCGCATCGCCGAGCACAGGAGAAACAGTGTTACGAGAGAAAAAGAAGGGACAGAGCTTTTCGTTAGTCCACAGATAGAAGTAAAGAGAGAGAGAGAGATAGAATAAAAGAAAGAGTCAACGTGAGAAAGAAGAGCAAGAGAGTGAGAGTTGGGGGGTACCTAGTTTGGATATTTTTCACGCGACCGAGAAGGTCGACATGGCCGGCGCTGTATTGCTCGATCACGTCCTTAACGTCGTACGGCTTCAGTGCCTCTTTGAATTTGCGCCTCGCCACGAAGTACTTCATCTGATAATTTTGCACGGGTTAACACAATACCGCGTTACGAATCTCTCTAGTTATTCTGTTCATTATTCGTGCCACCCAAACAGTAGAATCATATATGTGTGTATTTCAAATTGCTTTTCTCTGTCTGTCACTGAGACGAATAACTTGAAACTCTCGTTCACTTTAGCCAAGGAAAACGGTTATTCGTCTCAACTGCTAGTGTAGTATTTGCGCCGTTCGACAGATCAAGAAGTGTGATTTGCAACTGAAAAACTCATCGGTTCGTTCAACTGCAAGCTACATTGATTATTCGCTCTTGATCTGGCAAACTGAGTAAGTGGACGGTTTGTTGCGTGTTTATTGCAATATTTCGTATTTCTGTCTTCAAGTGTCTGAATCAAAAATATTGTCTGTCAATAACCGCGGATTTGGTCAGACTGTGATAGGTCTTACAAATTCTCTAGACGTCTGATCGCTCGGAACATTTCCAAACAACAAGAATCATCAATTTTGATCGACATTTTCATCTGCTCAAGGCATTCTCGTTGTTTGCGTCGATCAGAGGACTAGAGAATTTCAATGCTGGATATCAAGGTTTTTGGCCAACAAAATCTTTTTTTTTCTTTCTATTACCTAGTGCACATATCTCTTAAATTAATACATCATGAAACTCACTGAAGAATTATAGGCATCAATGACAAGAGTGTAGTCTCATCATATATCATTTGGATATACATAAGGTGGACGAAATAATTTAAAAAAAAAGCTTGATTAAGACAAGTTAGATGAAAGGAATTGCAGCTACTCACCTTTCGTATCGCCCTTATCGCTCCTTTGTGCTGATTCGTTAACTGTATACATCGAGGCTCCTCGTCCTCATCTGCAGGCAAATTACAGTATTAAAATGAAAGCTCCGGACTTTGGTTGTACGACTTAAAACAAGATAAAAGCGATCTCTCTGCGCTACTGTTTCGCGTGCATCACTAATACGCTCTCTTAAGATCTAAATAGTTAAAAAAAAAACAATTATGATTGCATGTATAACGACGTTTTTTGTTGCAAGTATGGACTCGCAGACACACACACACTTCATACACAAGTTTCTAATAAATCGCTCGCTCATTCACATATATCCCCGAGAGAGGATTCGTCGAGCTTTCGTCGTGATTTTTAACTAAGAAAATACTCATGTCGTTATCGCAAGTGCACTTTTGTATATGTAAAAGCTTCGACGTCATATTATATAGATGCTAAAACTCGCTAGACACATATATCTCTTTATTACAAGTGCTTCATCGCCGTCTTTTATCTCCATCATTGTCATCATAGTTATGGTTAGTCTCACACGTGCCATGCTTTTTTTGAAGGGGCGGGGGCGGGGCGAGGGATAAAGGAAACATAAAAAAATATAACCGGTTTTTTTATCACATATTTTTTGATTTTTCTTGTCAACAAACGAATTACACTTATACCAGTGAAGCAAAATATATGATTTACTTTAGCAAAGTTAATCGTTTTACATTTCAAGTACGTAGTTTGTTAGTTCTTTTGCTGTGGTGAACTCGGTAATCGCAAACGATCCTGCTCGTGATCGTAAAGCGCATCCGAGATAGTTTTTACGAGCTTCTCTCTCAAATTTTTTTGCTCATTATTGAGCTGCTCTTTTTGCCTGAGATTATGATTATGCGCGCAAAGAATCATGAGCTTAAAGTTAGGTTATGAATATCAGCAATTTTGTATTTTTAATTGAAAGTTATTAGTATTGTACAAAATTTTTTTCAATTAATCAATATTACAGATTGTTTTTGTCGTAGGTGACGATAATCAAAAGTTTTTAATTGTTTATTTGCTAAAGTCAAAATTAATTATGAATTCGTATGAAATGCATAGTCAGTTAATGAATTTCAGCTTTATACAAGGCATTTCATGTATTTATAATTATATTTACAATTATTATGGTAAAAGGTTAGAAAAGTAATGTCGTTTGTTTGAGAATATATAGAAAAAATAGAAGAAAATTTAAGCAAAAACTGATGAGTTTATACCGAAATAATTAAAATAGAACTAGAGCATGGAAGCAGTATCGGCTAAAAAGCAACTAAAATTTGCTATGGAAATGAAAAAAATCATCCGACTCGACTATATAATTTCGAAAAAGTTTAAGGAGTTTTGTGCTATCAATACTACTTTACTCAGTGCAATGTTAGTATGGCTAGTCTTTTATGTTAGAGTTTCGAGCGTACAATATTCTGCAAAAGTAGAGCGGCGAATCAATTTAGCGTATTCGTACAAAATTAACATTTTACGAATACATGGCTGATGCCAAATCTACTTTTTCATAGACTTTGTTTTTCTACTTTGTTTTTTTATTACTTTAACAAAAATAGTAAGCTATGTGCACAAGTGTACCCTCTCGTGTCAACCATCGTATCGTGTGTTCATCTAAAATACAACACAAAAAGTGTCAATTTATAAAGTCAATGTTTTTCACGCATCGTGTAATTAAAACATCGTGTGCTTCACTACTTTGTTAAAAAGATCAAAAAAGTGCAGGAAATAAAGTGTATCGTTTGCGTCACTACCGTCAACGGTGAGACCTCGTCCAAAAAATAAGAGAGAGAAAAAAAGACGAGCCTCGCAATACCGGAGAGTACATTTTAGAGTGATTGTCTACAATATCTACATCTCGACAAGTCTGTACGTAAATAATGTAGGAGTAAAGGTGTCGTCGGCGCGCTGTCTTAGTGAGAGTATATAGAGTCGTAGAGTATCATAGTGTCCGTGGCGGTAGAGTAATGAGAAACAACGGCAAGTAGATTTAGCGTCGCGGAGGGGCAGGAGGAGGCGTGGAGGCTTGTGCGCGGCATAATTTCTCTGTTCTCTCTCTCTCTCTCTCTCTCTCTCTCTCTCTCTCTCTCTCTCTCTATCTCTCTCTCTCTCTCTCTCTCGAAGCCGAACGGCATTTGCATGGTCGGCTGTGCGCGAGCGAATGCGGCATTATGCGCGCGCCGTCCACCCTCTCCGCAGCTCCAGTCCTCCCCCCGTTTTCGTCTTTCGCCGCCAGCCGCGCAGTTGTAAATCGAATGACGAGAGAGCGCCCCGTCGAAAACTAGGCGATGCGCGGCAAACTTTCAGAATCTGTTTTTCTTGCTTGCTTTCGAGGATGCCTCGTGAAACGGCGGATCGCGGAGGGCCGCAGGTCTTGCGCGGCCTTGTTTCCGCGCTGATTAATTGCGTTTCCAGGTAACCATCGGCACCGAGGCAATGGAATCGCCGAAATCGGCGCGTGTACGCCGAGCGCGCACACAGCGACGAGAATAAAGTGTCTCTCCCCGCGGGAGCGCGCCTTCCCATGCGGCTTATTGATTAAACACAAATTATTTTCCGTGGGATGTCTTCGCGTATACGTGCGCCGACAATTGACGAGGCCTCGTTTCTCGACTGGCGTGTACAGCTTGGATCGCTTCGTGTCGCGATCGTGCGTGTGCGTGTGCGTGTCGTGCCGGCCGAATCGACCTTTGGTAACTAAAGCTAAAGCTAGGCAATCCGAGAATAAAAGCAGGGTTCGGATCGAGGATTGTCAGGGGCTCGGAGTGTTTGCCGTGTATTAATAGCGAAACAGAGCGAAACTCAATTGATGTTCTGCGAACGGTAATGAATCTTTTTCGGTCGGCCGCGAGCAAAATTAATCAGCAGAGAGAACGGTTGAGCACAAAACAGATAGAAGGAAGAAGCGCCAAAGCTTAAACAGATCTGAGAACGAGAGCGAGGGAGTAAGGCCCGCCGAGCTCCATTCCTCGAAGCGAACCTGTCGTCGTCGTTCGAACGCGAAGCTTATCATTGTCCGACGCTTCGCACTCGAGCGGCTGTGAAAGAAAGAACAAAAGAGCAGAAAGAAAAGGTGAATGAATGAAAGAGCGAGAGAGAGAGAGAGAGAGAGAGAGAAGAGAGTGAGTGTATCATCTTATTTGTTAATGATCGTGCTGGCTAAGAATTCGTACTCTTCTCGGAGGTCGGAGACGCGTTGGGAGAGGTCGGCGATCCAAGGAGCTCCGGCAGCGGCGGTAAGGGGGAGACAAGGCCAGCAAGGGCCAACGGCAGTGTCGACGATGTCTCACCGAGGCGCCCTATCAAGCCGTCGATCCGCAGCTCACGCAGCTCGAGCGTCGACGACGACCGGTTCATCCGGTACCTCACTGCTGTCGAGGCACGCAGACGGATACCAGCCAGACCAGCAACAACAGCCCAATCATCATTGATACTCTACACCGGCTAGCTCGACTGCTCTTCCTCTGCGTCCAGAGCAGCGCGGCATGCCATGCGTCCATCGAGGCTCCTCGCGACTCAATATTCCCATTACTTTAAGCTTTTTATTGGGCAGCGCTTGTCCTGCTCTAATAACCCAGAGGAGTATGCCCGGACTCAACTCTATTACTTTAGCTGACTTTATCTACTATCCCCGTCGTATGATGAATGCCTCGTTTTTAGATGCGCGCTCGTTCTGGATACATGGATTTCACCAAATTTATGAATGAACGGCTCCTCTACTCTGCGTGCGTTGTATGCGTAGCAACGGCTACGAATGTTCTCCAGGGAGAAAGAAAGGAATTGCCCGTCTGGGAATACACGCGTTTTGTCAGCCCGCGCCAACTCCCCTTCCCCCCCCCCCCCCCCCCATTCCCTTTTGAATAAGCACACTCAATTGACGGCTCAGTTTTAATGCACCGTTCTTTGCTCGATATGGGCTTGTTACATTTCTCTCTCTGCATGTACTCAGTACGCAGGTCGCTCATTATCTAACATTGCGTAGTTTGTGCGGCTTAATAATTATTATGTACATTACAAGATGATCAAACAAGTGATTGTTATAGGTATCAGTTCAAGCGGTATTTGAGAAAAAGCTGTTCGTATGTATAGCTCGGCAAACGCCGTAATTACGTTTGTCAAAATTAGATTTACTGTGCATTGAAAAAATTACGAAAAAAGAAACAAAGGTAATCAAAGCCAAGAAGAATGCGCACTGAATTATAATTGATAATCAATCGAAAAGGAACAAGAAAACAAAGCAGATAATAGTTTATTTTTGCAATTTAAAAATATATCCTTACATGTCAGATTACTTTTGTACGCGAGTAATTTCGAATAAATGAAAGCTTTCATCAGATTGGCTGCCGTTCCGAAAGTAAAGAGAAAATTTTCAAATGAGAACAAGCTCTGCACTGTCGTAGTCAGCAGCACACATAAAAGAGAATGCAATAAATCGTATTTTCGGGACACGGGCTGCATGAAAAAATATGTATCCTTGCGCGTGGCAAAACTCCCATAAAAACACAGGGAAAAAAAAGAAATAAGGGAGAGAAAAAATAATTCACTGCGGATAAATTATTAACTTGACTAGACGTTATATTACGGTTTTGGCGGGGGAGGGGGGATACAGACACCACAATGGACTACTCACCGTCGGAATTCCTCTTGGACAGTGCCGTTTCCGTTACAGAATCCTCCGAGTAGCTCGCGTTCAGCTGTCTACTGGTGTTGAGGCCAGAAGAACCAGTACCTCCCGCGCCACCGGCGCTCGTTTCGTTGCTGGCGTTATTGTTACCGTTGTTATTATTGCTCGTGGGCTGAACGCCTGAATTTTGCACAATCGTTAACATTTGATTGCTTATTTAATGCCGTAACAGCTTCTCTCAAATTCACTCGGCACTACTTTCTTTCGTTCGAATCTCTTAGAGCACAAGACAACCGAAGCACTGCCGTATCTAATATTCTGGGATTGCTCGCCGTGATTGCAAGAGAGCCGGAGTTTCGGTCGACGAGAGAATGGAAGAGAATGCGGGGGACGGATCTTACCCAAATTTTCGGACGACGAGATGAAGTCGGTGAAGCCGCGGGTGCCACGCTGTTGGCCCTGGTAGCCCTGATGAACGAGTTTGTGAAGGCTAGGACTGTGCAGAGACGTGCTCTTGTGCCGGCGAATCGTTGGCAGCCGGCTGACAAATGACGCGTTGTGCTTAAAGCTAGAAGAGGGTCGACTACTAAAATAATCGAACAAAACAACACATTGTTCCCTTTAATCATCCTCCTGACGCTTATGCTTTGTAAACTCGTTTTTCAAAATGCTCTTTATTATTCAAGAAATTTCTGCGCTAACATAAGAAACTGGCTTGGGTCTATGTAGCAACTCGAGCTAGAAAGCAAAACTGCGATCGATGCCAATCGTCAAATCATTACACAAAGCATAAAACTCAAAGGCCATTATTAAAGTAATCGCCGCAATGGAGTCGAAGCAAAAGTTCATTTGCGTGCTGGAGCGAAGAGATGCAGTGTCGGGAAAATGCAGATTTGTTAGTTCCCGAAGCGATGGTAGCCAAATGACTTTCTCGAGGATCTATCGATTTAAAAGCTTCCGACGCGAGAAAACAAGTCGATTGACTTTCAGTGCTGCACTCGTGCGAGAATTTAATCCGGGAATGTTGTTTGGAAAATTGAGCGTACTGCAGTTGAAAACTCGAATGTAAAATCGATCGTACAAAGCAGCAACATAAGTAGACACTAGTGGTGGCGGCGGTGGTGGTGGTGGTAGCAGCACTAGCGAAGAGCTAAGGCAATGAATATATCGCTATGCGGTGAAATAGGTGGAAGTAGCGCAGTTGAGCGCGCGCAAGTGTGTGTGGAGGGATAAGGCATAAAAAGCTCGGCTAACGTGGGTGCATTGGAGAGGCCGAGAGGTTTTCAGATTGAATAAAAATGGGCAAACCTGGGCGGACTTGGCAGCGGAACTTGATGAATTTTCCAGGTCGCGACGCTCATGCTATGCTCGTCGGCCGCGTAGCACCTCCAAAGGGCCTGGATTAAACTGGCAGCCGGCTGTCTCCGCCGGATCATGTGTTTTTGGCGTTGCTGCTGCTGGACCTTCAAGGCGAATCCGGAGCCCAGAATCCCCTAATGCATCGCGCAAACACACAATACACATGCACTGACCGCCTTTGCTCTCGGACTCCTACTTTTGGTCGAATCAAATGCCATCTCGGGCAATGCAACAGAGACGAGTCGATTGCACGCGCGCAAGACTTCCAAAAGTTCGGAGACGACCTCTGATTCTCTTTATTAGAATGCGGCTGAAATTAGTCTATTTTTGACTATGATTGCATCCGCAGTACGGATACTATTCGCCGAAAATCATTTCTAATAATAGAACAGCTAATGAGACAGCCATCTACTTACAGCTGGTAAAGCGAAGAACGATATACCGAGGAGCGCGCAGAAGGAAGCGATTATTTTACCTTGCCAGGTTTTTGGCACGGCATCACCGTAGCCCACCGTGCACAGGGTAATCTGCAAATAACAATTTGTCCAGCATTCAAATCAGCGCGTCGCATATGTCTTTAAGCTTTACTTGCCAGCCGAACGTCACTTGCGCCATCTATTACTTATTCATAGACTACTTTGCCGGCTATTTTTAGAGGCGACGAGCTGCCGCTATCATTCAATTCTTTTTTTCTTTTTCAAGCTCTCGTCGGAGGGACGAACGGCCGTCTGTCAATAAGCGACGTTAACAGCGCCAATTATCCTTGCGATTTACACATTTTCTTTTTCTTTTTCTTTTTCTTTTCCTTTTTATTGCAGACAGAAAACAATGTTCCCTTGCATGCCGATCAAATAAGCTCACAATTACGCTCGGGCTTATTTTACATTTGCCATTAAAAAAAACAGTCTTACTATTTGAATTCGTAGAGCCCTGATTAATTTCGCGCATAAAAGCAGCGGCTGTGAATGCATACCAAATGTAGGCAGCTGCAGCAGCACTCAGCTTTAAAACTGAACTATACGTATTGATATACGAATGCACGCTTAGGCATGTGCAAAAGTGCGCGAGAGCGAGAGAGAGAGAGCGAGAGAGAGAGAGCGCGAAAGAGAGCGAAAGAGGTCGGCGGTAATTAAATACTTCTTTGATAACTCGCAGAGACTCGAATCTCGTCATCTCTCTCCGCTCACGAATCTAAAAGAAGTGACCCTTCATTACAACAGTTGCGCCACGAGATTATCAATTATTTGGTTGTAAAATTTTCAACTAGCCAGAGAACAAAAGTTGAATTACTTTGCAGGTTTAAAGAAAAGGAGCTATCTGAAATAATGCGAATTGAATGCAAGTTGGCTAATGAGCAGTCGCTTGTATTGCTGGCGCGAACAATACACGGGCTTAACGACTAAACGATCTATTGATATAGAGAAGAGGTCTCACCACTCCCCACCACAGGGCTTTGGCGAAGTTATTGAAGTGCTCGTCGTCCTTCTCGGCGAGATAGACCAAGAAGCTGGCGAAGATCAGTCCCAGGAAGCCGATGTAGAGCGTTGTTATAAGCTCCTGCAACACAACGCCAATTCATCAGAAATACTTCTGCACAGACTTTTCCGTGCATTCGAGAAGGAATGTAGCGGCGAGGGGCTTTACATCGATTGCGAAGGAATCCGCGACAGTAAACTTATCATTAAAGACTATGTGAGACTATGATAAGACTACGTAAACTTTTATGTGACCACGCTCGAGTAGTTGGTTGGACGATCGGCGCAGACTGGCGCATATATAGGCTAGCCAAAAAGCATAATGCGATAGGAAATTCCAGTCCACGGGTGGGCCAAGCGGTCAGTGGAGTAATCAAATGGCTCTCACGACCTAATAGCACGGGCCGTAGAGTTAAGTCGGCCGTAATTTCCGACGATGCATTAGAATCTTGATTCGGCCCTCCCTCGTGCCCCCGGCGCTACACCCACAGCAAAAGAAATAAGAAATCGGCGCGAACGAGCTCGTCGTTGCACGCCACCGGCAACCGCAGTCGAACGGCTGGTACCTGGCTATTCTTGGCCCTCGGCCTCTCTCTCTCTCTCTCTCTCTCTTTCTCCGTTTCACGCGGAGAAAATGCTTTTCCGCTCGTCAAAACACGTCTCGCGATTGAAGGTGTCCGCGGCGCGTGCTAAGGCTGAGTCAGCAGCCGAACGCGGCTAGACGCACGTGAGCACGACCCGCGTGCCCCTACGTACTTGCTGCGTTTGCGTATGCCCTAGTTGTCTCGCTTTATTAGAGCCTCGCGAACTAAACTTTAGTACGTACACGACTACGCTTAGTTTTGCCGTAGATCACTGCTTGTATTTTTCTTTTCTTTGCCTCTTGACAGTCTTCGTTTCCGTGAGCCCAGCCCGCGCCGCCATTGATGCTTTCCGCGCAGTCGCGCGCATGCCAATCCCTCGATTCACCTGGCGACTTTAATCGGCAGTTTGGTTTGCAAAATTAAAATGGACCATCGCCAGCGCGTGGCTTTTTTCCGCTTGTTTTCCACCTCTATTGGGCATCGTATTATACTCGCTGATATATCGATCGGCCAACAACAGCTCGACGACAGAGCGTTAAGGAATCAGCTATGTAATATAAAACTTCGAAGCAAGTTTCTGCCAAGTTGCATGCTATTGAATATTTATCGAGTTTCATATAAGAATCTCGGCAGTTAATTCAATTTTCAAACATACCGGGTATTTATTATCGCTGCTGGTCATTTTCAAGATAGTTCAAGTAGCCGCGAATAATTAGCTATCCAGGCGCTGTTTCTTTGCACATCGGTAGAGTAGGTTTTATTGTCCGTTCCAACAGTTTGCTCGCAAGATCGCGCCATCCGTAGATTTGGTATTGCGGTTATGAAATGGAGCACGACCAGACTGCGCGAGTATAACGTCGCGGAGGAAAAAGTAAGTTTTACTAGCGTAAAAGTTTGCGTACATTTCGTAATGAAAGTTGACTGATTCCGATATGCTTTGTCAAGTTAATAAATGTCGATCGATTCTCTACTATCGATTTTTCCTACCAGTCGTTGTTATTTTTTTTACTTGCCTTTCCTCTATATTATACGTTTACTGCTCCTTCGTTTCTTTATCACCCACGTCTATCGTCTTTCCTTTCCTTTTTTTTCCTCTTACGCAACTCGTTATCCCTGTTGCTCGTCTCGTTTTTAGTGGCAAGACGTCGCGCCCTCCCTGCTCCCGTATCGTATAATCGATACCTCATCTGATTTCGGCATTCGGGTCAACGATCCCATGGTTGTCTAGCATTTACACCGTGACTTCCTTGCCCATGCCGGGCATAACGGGCATAACCTGTGGCTGATGCTTGCGCGTCGATCTTCGATCTTTTCTTCATTTTCCGTTATCTTCCTCTAAGATTGCGCCGAGGAATTTTTCCGTTGACGTGCGCGCACTGTACGCCGCCCAGATTCGAGATTTGCGTGAAATTAAGATCACGCGATATGATTTACGCCATTAAGATAACGACTTTCTTTTTATTTTTTGTTATCAAACCTCGGGTATTGTTGGGATGCAATAAAAAAAAGAATTTTTATTCGTGCGATTACGTCTCCCCTTGGGCGTACCGTTGGTGTTAATTATAAGGCTGTTCCGAGTTGCTTGGCACGCACAAAAAAGTTTAGGGAATAAATTGTCGATAAAACTTGTCAGTGAGAAGTTGTATTCGAGGCATTATTCCACCGCAAGTTCGGCGTCGCACCGAGATATACAAGTCGAAGCACGACGACCTAATGGTTCGTTGAATCAAGATCGTGACGATCTCGCGTTGGAAAACTCGGCGTGACTCGTGGCTTAAAAGCGCGTGAAAATACTTTGACGTCGTCGCGCTCCAAATACTTGACAAACTCATCTAAAGCAGCTGATAGGAATTTCGGCGGGGATTGGCCATTGCCGCGTCGGATGAGAATGGTTGGCAGTCTTTTGTCAGGCGTGCATCGCGACATTGAAACTAGGCTCAGGGTTTGGGAACGGGCACTCACTTGTCGATGAGCGTAAACGACGCTGCCCAGTAGCTTCCACGTGCCGCCACGCCGGTCCATCCGCACCATCCGCAGTATTTGGAAGAAGCGGAGCCCGCGGAGGGCGCTTGCCGCGAACACCTGGCCGCTGCTCCGCATCGCGAGCACCACTATGCTCGCGATTATCGTTATCACATCTGCAAAGTGTCGTTGTTTATTCAATACAGGTAATAACAGGTTTCCGCAGTTTAAGCGTGTCAATGATTCTCCGTCAAAGGATTTCTCTATATTTCAATACGTGGAAAATCCACTCCACGACGCGCGGCAACGCGTTCTCATGCTGGCAACTTTGCGATACGAGTAGCTTACTTTCAGTCGAGTTTCGACTCATTGGAATGAAAAAATGCCGATAATGGTATCCCGGAATGACCGTTCAAGTTTCCCTCGGAAAAATGTATCCGTCGACTGCTGCAAGGGAATAACAAAAAGTATGGCTGAAAGCTGTTCTTAATCGAGCTGGCCCAAGTTATTTTTTCGGCCGACTTAGGATTAGGGTTTATTTACTCCTAGAAAGTTGTCTCCCTCCGTCGGTCGATCACGTATTTGCAGCACACGAGAGTACAAGAAGGTTAACGCAGTTGATCATGTCGATCGTTGCGTAGGTCGTCGAATGAAGTGAGCGAGCGCGCCCGTATGACAGTAGCATCCCTGTATAGCTGTAGACGTCGTCGCGTGCGCGTGTCATTGGATTAAGCTCCCCTGGCGAAAGTAAGTGAGCAAGCAAGGCGGGCGCGCGAGGAGGGAAAGCAAGGGCAGCAGTGGCACTTTGATGTTGGCTTGTCTGCGTCATTAATTAGTTCGTTATCGCGCGCGAGCGGCGCCCTAATTGCGAAAGCGCCTTGTAGCCGAGACAAAGGCAACCTTGAAGATGCAACGCTTGGACACTGCCGGCGCGTGCACCGAAGGCGCACTCCGTCCCGCGCGGTCGCCCTTAACTGGGACTCTTCTACTTGACGCCACCGCGGCTCTGCTATGCGAATCGACGTTGAGGTTTCGGGGAAAACGGCAACGCGTACGGCACGGCGCGAACGACCAAAGCTAAGCCAGATATAACGCGCTCGAGAGGAGACGAGCCAACTTTATGAATACATATTGCACGAATAAAAGCTCTTAATGAAAAGATATTATTCATGAGCGGCGTACGCTCGCGCTTTTTGTCGGACGCTCGCCGCGCATCGCGGTAATACATAAAAAATAAATGGCTATATAGTTTTCGCAATAAAAGGCTGCTTCGGAAAAGCCCTTCCAACATCATGCATAAAATCACCTCGGATAAACAAAGTTGCTTTTAATCGCTCCAAGCTCCAAAGAGGAAATTCGCTAAAGCTCCACTTCTATATCTGCGAGTGCATTTAATCGCGAGAATTCTAATCCGCGACGGAGATTGAAGCGGGAGAAAGGGTCGAATCGCTTGGAAAAGACGAACGACGGGCGTTGCGCGGAAGAAGCAAAAGAAAAACAATCGACTACTGGCCTCGCGTCGGCAATTCTTTTGTGCTAATCCCCGATAGCTAAAACCGCGCGCAGGCGACTGCAACGGACGGAAGAGCGGTGGGGTGGGGGCGAACAGAGGAGGGGAAGAACTTAAGCTACGCGCACGCCGAAGTAGGTCATAATGATAAAGCCGCGAGTACGTACTCTCGGACTGTCGTCGCCTTGCGCGTATGATTACACGTGACACCTTGCCGAGGCACTGCGCATACGTATACACAAGCCGGCTTAATTAGCGGCTTTTTCTCTTTGCTCTCTTTGCAATTGCCTTTGGCCATGGAGCCTCGCTTAATATTTATGCCAGCGAATATATTTCACCGCTTGGCTGCCTTTTGCGACGCTTCTATTCAACGACAGATTCGCGAAGAACGACGGTTTTCATTGCTTAATGAATGCGCGCCGGGAAGCACGCTGAGAACGCGCGTTATTACGACAAATTTTTATTATTTACGGATGCTGGCGATCACTTAGACTTGCGTGGACGATGGACTGACTAATGCAAAATGACGATCGGTTGGCTGTTGTTTTATCTTGCAAATTAAACCCGTACTACGGCAAGCAACGGCGAGTTTCTTCGCAATCAGCGAAATGAAGGCTTGCATCCATTGTGAAAATGACCGATATGCCGAACGACGATGGCCGTATAAATATGAAAAAAAGAGTTCTAGTTGAGTAAAACTTACCGATGATGCAGAAGGGCCTTCGAAGGAACTTCAGCCGACCGATAGCTGTTTGATACCTTGAACGACATCCTGACGACCATAACCTGTTGGGGCGCATCATATTTTGAATTAGTACGGGCCAGTCGGATGAGAAATATCTGCCTGCTACTTACCTAAAAAAAAACTCGCCGGTGAACCACACAACCACAACCATTTCCATATAAAAAAGGAGAACTCCGGCCTCCTTCTCGTATTCGTCTATCGTACTAAAGACCGAAAGGACCAGGCACGTAAAGACCATAAGAAATCTGCAAAAGAAAATGGAAAGAAAGAATTTTCACGACAAGTCGTTTATTGGGAAATTTCTCGTGCGCGAGTTTTGCGAGATAGCTTTGTCGATTGATCGTAAAAGTGCCTTGATTTTGAACGGGCCGACGTCGCGAGACAGCAACGATTCTTAGCAAAGTTTTCGCTAGGAAACTGAATCGCAACGGTAATTCATACTTTCGCCGCGCGCTCGCAGCTCAAGGGTTATTTAGATTCGGAACAAAGTTGTTACGTAGCTAGCCAAGAACGAGAGGAGAGGAGGACTTCTGACGTTTATCCAAAATCCACTCGAAAGAAGAAATAAATGTATCGAAGCACGGCACAGCGGCTCTGCTTTCGTACATTTGCATAACAATTCGAAAAGTGAATGTAGACGATTCCGTGGCCGCGCACTTAGCACGCGGAACGTTTAAATTGGACGCGAAATAATAAATCAAGTGGCGGGTTTTACGCCAGTAAAAGCGTTATTGTTATCAAACGTAGGCAGCAATCGCGAAAGAGCTTATCAAAAAGGGAGGTGGGCGACACAACGTCAAAGCCAATATTTTCGGATTCGTTAGGCAGAGGGCTTCTCTCTGCGGAGCTCGCACGCGATCGTTTTCAAAGCTGCGAGGCCTCGCGTGACACGCCAAACACACCGGCCGAACTTGCCCCAAATCCGAGAGCCCCAATCGAGTATTATTCATCAGCGCTAGCGCTCTACTGCAGAGCTCTCGTCCGCAGCCCGCTTGAATTACCGAAAAGGCTTAATTGTCATTAAAACGTCCGTCAAAGCCGGCCACTCTCGTCGGATTCCCGATCCGCCAGAGGTGAACGGAGGGCCAGATTCCGACATCGACTGCTCTTCCGCTCTCCCGCGCGGATCGCGCACAATCATCTTGCACAAGCCCACTTTTCCGTCGCCGAGCTTCAACTGTAACTGCGCGCGTCGACCATTAGCCGTCTTCGCCATGGGGAAAACGCGCGCACCCGGCCCGACTCTCCATTATTTGCGCTTCGCCAATTCGACGACTCTCTCTTTTCTCTCTGATTGCTCCTCTTTCCGCCCATCAATGCCATGGGACATCTCCGATTCGCTCTCTCATTGTTAGGCGACGTCCTATTGTTTCGCTATCCAAGTCGTTCCTTCGAAAATTAAGGCTGTACTAACTAAAAACTTGTGCGCGAAACGGCTTTTTTATCGTGCTGTTTGACATTCCAATTGCGAAGTATTTTTACATCATTCGACAACGAGAATAGCAGCACGCCGAAAGTAACAAGTAATCGATTCAACAACAAAAGAATGCCAAAAAATAGTTTGCCGATATCATTTGTCAAGCCGTAACATATTTCACATTTCAAACGTTCGCTCGCAAAAGTTCGAATAAAAAAGTACTTAACCGTGCGCGCACGCGATTGAAAAAAAGAAAGCACGAGGGATCTCGACCGATCAATAGGTATATGATGACTTACTAGCCGACAAACAAATGGACCTGATGTGCGCGTGGATCAAAGTGATCGACGCAATCCAATGAGTTCGGACACGCACGTACTTCCGAGGCTGGGGAGGAGGAGACGATCGTTCTTCTCGATCACATACGACGACTCACGATGAACTACTGTACGCGAGAGAACAAAACGCCTCTTCCGCCTCCATCGCAAACTTCAAGATTTATCTCCTTGCGATCAATTGATATTGCAAGGACACTCTCTCTCACACACGATTGAAAAGCTCGACACTCGATCCAAAAGCTTGCACCCTTGACTTGGCGCGATATTAATGGTTTCGGCGATCTGCATAAATATTTATGAGAGGATGCTAGCACGCTGCTGTATTTTCCTTTTTTTTCGCTGCCCTCCCTCTCCCGATATTTCTATATGCCGTGAATGTAGCTCAGACGTGATTTGTGAATCAAAGTCGCTTGGGAATTGTATGCAGCTCAAATTGGAAGAGAAAAAGAACGAAACTGCTTCGTTCTTGTATGTTTTGCTTTTAATTGCAGCAAGAAATATGAAAATCAAAGTCAATTAGATGGCGACAGAAATTAAATGTTTCGTACTTGTATTAGTGAGCGAATTAAAGCACTGCTTGTCCAAGCAATCGTACATATACAAAGAGTGAGAGAGAGAGAGAGAGAAAGAGAGGATAAAGCGCGCGTCTACGATAATTTATAAACATCTCGCGCGAAATTCAGATAGATTAGCCAACTTAATTCTCGTTCCAACTTCATCTCATGAAACTTTTAAACAATCAACTGCTGACGCTTGGATTCGAGCGCAACTTACGTATATATGTATATTTGATTCCAGCGCGATATGTATAAACGCGGCGGGGCTACAATATCAGCCCTCGAGTTTCGGCCTTTGTACATCTCCAGTGGGTGCAAAGATAAATTCCCGTAAAAGGAGGCTGACTGGAGCTCATCGAGGAGAGCCTTTTGCAGACGTATATAGTTGGGTCCGTACTCGGTATATATAGGCTAGGAGAAGGAGGCGAGTCGGTCGCGCGGCAAAATGGAAACAAGTGGTCCGTGCAAAACGATATGAGCCGACTTTTCCAGTGGGGCAAGCAAGCGAGCGGCTCTGATAGGTAGGGGACTCAACCAACCACCCTCGGATATGGACACACCTACTATATGCAAACCTAACTTATGGAATCGAGGTCGTGTACAAGATTTTCCTTGTTATTCCTGCCTCTGCCCTCTCCTTTATTGTCCTTACCAATGGCCGGCACACTTTTCACGAAATCACGCAGAGACAAGCGCAATTTCGTAAAAGTTCAAGCTGCCCGTGTCAGCGCGTTGAAGCAGGTATGCATAGCTGTCTTCCTCGGCCCTGCGTCCTGCGCTATCTTCTTTCGTCAGATTAGATTCCACACGCCAAGACTATGAAGTATTTCGACTGCACGCGAAAGAAAGCTCTTTTTACGGCAACAAGTCCCCGGAAGTGATAGTAGTGCAATAGCGCTGTCCAAAAATGAGCTAAATTTGATTTGCATATACCATTCGGTAGAATTTCGGAAGTGTACGTGTACGAGGAATTTGAATTCGATAAAACGCGAACAGAGAAATCGTGATCTTTGAACGCTCTGCGAGCAAGTAAAAGCTACCGCAAAAGTCAGTTATTTGTATTTGTTTACTCTCCTCTCCAACTTTTCATTCTTTGGTATATGGATATTAAATTCCCTCTGAAAGTCGTGCGCACAAACATACCCTGCACTTATGACTACCTCTCGTATGAGTAAATTAAACTTGTTCAAAGGATTATTCGCCGGCATCCTACGAATATGAACTCTCAACGTATTTTCATGATAAAGTTCTCATATGTCACGAGGCCTTCATCAAAACTAGCGCTAGTACTGCTCGATACAAGTAACCGTGTGAAGCCACGGAAAATGATTATTAATGAGAATTGAACTTCTGTTTTTTACGTATTCTTGCACGTCGTTTTCATTAATGGACAGCTCCGGCACAAGCACCCGTCACCCGAAAAGAGAATTCACTGAGGCACATGGAAAGAATAAAAGAAATTCTTCTTAAAATTTTTGTACAAAAGCTTTATACTGGCTCGTTGAAGAAAGGAAAGTACTCGACTGCTGTAAGACGCGTTCGTGGCGGGCAAAGAATTTGTTTTAATAGACGCGTCGAACGAAAAACGCTGAAGTGGGTACGACTGCGATCTGAATAGTATGAGCAAAGTTGATATACTTACACGATCATGTGATAGGAAACGGCATAGACACCACGCGGCCGCTCGAGGAAATTGTAGACGCGGGCCTGGAGCCGCCGGTAGCGGGCATCGCGACGAGTCGCCCGATAGTTCACCGGGCGTCCCAGCAGTGACATCCGCGGGGCTGCCAGACGTCCTCCTGCGCCGCCGCTCCTGCAACACACACGCACGCACACAGCCACGTGCACAATTTACGCTTGCTTCGATGATGCTTGGGGCCTGCGCGCGCGCCAGGCCTTGTCATATTTGCCTCGTTTACCGCCCTCCCCCGCCCCTCCCTGCTCCTCTTTCCCCGGGCTTATCGAGCTCATCGCCGCGAGCATCTCGCGAGTGCTCATTTTTCAACCCCCTTATCGCTCACTACCCTACCCCGACTCTCGTTCCACTCCGCTTGCGTATACGCGCGTGCGTGTATCCGCCTCGGCGATTTCCTTGTTTTTCTTCGTTAGCACGTTTCGCCGTTGCTTGTGCTCGCTCGCTCTGCCCACGACTCTTGCCTGCCGGCCCGATGACTGTTCCATCCGCGCGGCAATGCGCCCTAGCTTTTTTCTCGTTCTTTCAACGCCGCGATAGTGTGTCCGCAGGGAGAGAAGGGGGGAGGGTACAAAGTTATTACTTTTGCAATTTGCGCGCGAGCTAAAAGGGAAGGTTACTAATTGCATGATCGCAGGGAACAATGGCCACGCGGAAAAGTATGAAAGTGAAACTGACGATAAGCAAAAGTAGAAGGAATGAGAAATAACGAGAGGTTTGTTTTTTTTTCTTTTTGCAAGTTACCTATACACATATTCCGCCGCATCAGTGTGTATTCGTCTCGCGAGATACAAGTTTATGTCGGATATGAAACTGCGACAATAAAATATAAAGGAAAAATTCTTTGATCTCCTGTCGCGTTTCCAACCAATGCGATGTCGATAAATGCTTTTCATCCTTCGGATATCACAAACGACGATCGATCAGTATTTTCAACGTCAACGAATCAAATTATACTCATTGAAAATTGGTTCAGCGAAATGAGCTGCAGTATTGAGCAGTGGACAATTGATAAAATGATAAAATTTCTCGCAACAGAAGTTACTCCGCAAATGCGTCTGCATGCGAGCGTGTAGATAGAAACGATACAACTGTTGGCAAAGAAGTGTATAACGAAATGTACACTTATAAAGCGTGACCTAGAATACTAATTGTTAGCAACACTGTAGTCACATTCAGTCACGCTTTATTGCTTGCTAAATATAAGATGGATTAAGTTTTGCGTTTTATCGCTAGAAAGCATTTTCCGCGAGTTGATTCGTGGAACTTCAGACGGAATTAATTATTTCTGTCTTGCGTTGTAGTCTCGTGCCATAGAAATTTTCAACATGCTTTGAGTAGGTGGAAATTGCTAAAGCACGATTGAAACGACAATTCTATCCAAGATGACTGTTGAAAGTCCGTTCATGGTGGTAAACGGTAAAACAACGACGCGCTTGGGCGAAAAATGAAGAAGTTAGTCAAGTTATTGAGCGACGCAGCTGTACTGCTTGTCGAAGATGGAGAGGGGAGGGGGGGGGGGGAGGAAGGAGCATGGAACACGAACATTTAACCAGCGCAATTATCGGAGTTAATTATCTGGCTGAGCTGCCAAGCCAATGACACAGGCTCGACTCATCATTTAGCCCAGCGGCTTGTCGACTTCGGCCTAAATAGCCCGGCAGCTATTTCGAGAGATGCCGGTGCCGCACGCCCACCGATATCTTCGCTTTCTTCCCACGCTGAGCTTGCGCTGCGTGCATCGCGATGTCCACTCTCTCGCCTTTTAGTGCGGCTGTATGCTTGCTCAGAAAACAACCGCGACTGATTGTTTTCATTGCAATCAGCGCAACCTTACCGACGGCCTTTTACGATCAACATTTCTTCACCGATGTCTTTGATATGCGCAACTATTTCCATCCACATTTCCAGAACGTCGTTACGCCCGCTCGGGGAAAAAAGAATTTTTGGGAGCTCTGCTTTTGCGAGGAAGTCGTAAATATTACGTACGCGCGAAACACGTGTCGTCATTGAATTTGAGATCGACTGGAAAATGAAGTTCGGGCTACACCGATGATTTATTGCTGGTCCTTGAACTCGCTATTTTGAGATGTCCGATTTACGAATTACGCGGATGAAACGAATCCAGTTTATCTGCTGTGCTGGAAATTGAAAGAGTTACCGATCGGATTTAATCTACTTTGCACGGCTGACTAAATAGGCTACCAAACTACTCGTTCTCTATCAAATCATTTTACGTAAACCAGCCTTCGAGTGCCGATTTATTTCGCGCTGATGTAGTGAATTATCGCAAGTAGATATTTAAGCTATTTTGACAATCATTTAATTAAATATTATATCAAACGGTAAGAGTCGGTTCATCTTTGATCTCGAAAAAAAATTGAAAGCTTTCTGTTACTTGGATTTATTTCATTTGCCGAAAGTTTCAAGCCAACAAGTCATTCCGTTTAAAAAATCATTCATCCGGTGTTAAAACGATTTCCAAAGAAAATAATCGTGAAGCTTGAAAAAAAGAAAAAAAAATCCCGAAGACATGCAAGCACGTGAGCGCGATGAAATAATAAAGTGACATAATTTATACAAGACGACAACTTTCCGTTTAGTTAGTTTACTTTGCGAGAGTAATCATTTCAACGAAAAAGTTGTTAGAATTGATACCGTAGCCGACTTGATAACCTGAAATTAAAGCGACAGTTAACGCCGCACAAATAAACAGCGTGAGTATTCATTTTAATCTTTGAAAGATCAAAAAGAAATGAAATTTGACTTTGGTTATTGAAATAGCGAAAGAATGTCGAATCACAACGTGAAAGTTTAATTAAACGGAAAGTTTCATGGGCACACGGCAAACACTGAATGGTCATATTCGATAGATTGAATTTAGCGAATTCAAAAAGTTTTTGCACCGCTGAAAACGATAGAGCACTCGCGATGAATATAACAAGCTATAGAACCTGCCATTCGAAAGTTGCGCAGAGCTGATAGCGTTGTAGAACATGTATATAGATATAAACACGACACCGATATCTAGCATTTCGCTCTAATTACGTTAATACCGCGGGTGACAGCATGGCGGCGTTTGCCCGTCAAAGTGTGCACCGATAACCATAGATAGCTGCAATATTTGTCTTTTTCCCTCTCTACGGTCATTTTCTAGTTCATGTCGCGGGGGCTCATTTACCGCGAGTCAGAGAGAGAGAGAGAGAAAGAGACTCGACGGAAAGCCTGGGGAGAAGAAAATGAAAAGAGCTTTAAAAATTCTTTTTCGAGCAGGTCGTCAACCTTGGCAAAGGCTGGAGGATGAGCGAGACCGTAAAGTAGCCCCGGCGCGGTACCAACAAATTTTTCAATACTCATCGTTGTACAACTAGAGGTAGACGCCACTGAAAGCTCGCTAATTAGTAGAATTAATAAAAATTACTCTCATCTGCAATTACATTTTCAGCCATGCAAGCTTTTAACAAAATTCGATTTTCAGCTGGAAATACGCTGGCCGATAATAAAGCGAAATCTAAACGCATATATACCCAAGAAAAGAAGCTCTCGTCACACCTCGTACAGTGCAGTCCCGTTTACTTAAACGCGGCGCGGTTGGCGCAAGCTCGCATCACCTACATGTCCCGATGGCCGTCGATGCGATTCATCGAAATCTCGCGAGCGCTAAGAAAGAGAGGGAGATAGCGGCCTCGCCTACTTATTTATAGCCTCGGGTATCTTGCAATGAGTCGAGACGGGAGAAAGCCAAGGTATACACGGCAAAACGCCTCGGGGTTGTGTAGAATAAAAAAAAGGAAGAAAAAAAAAAGGGGAGCGCTGTGCGGCAATGGCGACTGGAGGTGTGGCGTTCTGCCAAGCGATCGTCACACACACGCGCGCGCGCGCGTACGCGGAGCTGTCGCTCGCTCTTCAAAATCAATGCTCGTATTATTAGTCGCAAGCTTGCTCCGTCTGTCAGATTTTACACGACGCTGTAGCGAATTCGCCTGGGCGCGCTTGCGAAAACAATTCGTCAGCTCTTCATTCATCTCACTCCCGCGAGTTACGGGGATCGCTCGCGGCAATTTCCAATTTTGGCTCCACGCGCAAAATTAATCGGCGCGCTTGAAGAATTCTGTCGCAGCTCGCGCCACGAAGACCCTACCGCTGCCCAGCTTATCGTTACTGCGCGCTTGCCGCTGGATCGGCCTCGTCGGCAATTAGGAAAAGCATATACATATCGCTCGGTATGTTTATCGGTAAAAATAAGCGCGAGCCGCGCGAGCCGTAAATAAACAATTCGATTGTGCTTCTCTGATACCCCTCATTCGCATTCGTCTCTGTTTCTAGAAGCGCCAGCAGTAGCAACAACAAGCAAGAATAAGACGAAGGAGCGGCAGCGGCGAATCAGGGTCGGCACACGTAATCGTCTCACGGCCGATCGTTCGGGGGTAAAATTTATTTCCTCAATAGCCCAGCGAAATAAAAAAAAAAAGAAAAAGAAAAAAGAGAAAAACAACGGGCAACGAAAGGATATTACCTCCGGCGTATATAGCAATTACGCAATGGCTTCTCTCTCTCTCTCTCTCTCTCTCTCTCTCTCTCTCTCTCTCTCCAATATTGCAGAGGTTCCACCAGACAATTCAAAAGAGTTTAAAGTCGACGAGGCGAGCGTACATTCGACTTTTACACATGCAGCAGAGTACACCTATAGTTGCGCACTGGAATTTCTACGAAGGCAGCAAGTCAACTCAAACGGCGCTGTATTGCTATCGAGGCGCTCGCCGCCGTCGAGCCTATTTAGGGGTTATTTTTAGCTTCTAGACGCACGGAATTTGCTTTTTAAGCGTTTTGGCAATTAAACGCAAGTACATTCACTTTCTATCTCTTTCTCTCTCGCGCCTATCGACTCTTATACAGTGCTAAAAAACAATGATCGCGCTTCTGTTTCTCTACTGTTTCTCCTTCCGTGTTTTTTTTTCGAGCAAGTTAAATATTCAACGCGGAGATCGTAATATGCAACTATAAAACAAGCATAAACTAATTGAAAAAACGGTCAATGAATCTGAAGAAGCAGTTGTTTCCATTGCGGTATAAAATGCTGCATTCAATTTCGAAGGAAAGAGCGGTGTGACTGTACCTCA